CCCGCAGTATCACCTCGTTCCAGCCATCATTTTATAGCTGAGGAATTAAAAGCAAAAATTTAAAGCCACTTGTCTGAAGTCACGCTGCTGATGAAACTTATTAAGAGTAACATATTTGTTGAGCCCTTCTTCTAAGTACTTTACATGGATCATCCCATTGTATTCTCATAGGAACTTACGAGGTAGGTCCTGTTTCTACTCTCATTTATCCCCATGAGGATCCCGAGGCACAGAGAAAGTGAGTGAGTCACACAGCCAGGGCAGAGCCAGGCATTCTGAGGTTCACCGGAAGCTCCTCTATCCCAGGGCCTCTTCCTTCTGTGCTTTTGGTGACAGCTCTTAGCGTATCCCCAATGTCACGTTCCTCATGGATATAAAGAAAGTACCAACATTTACTGAGAGGAATATTAGGAAACAAAGTAACTTGACCCCCAGAACCTTGCAAAGAATCTTGTCCAGATAGGAACAGACTTCCTTTGAATTCTTCCAGGATCCACATAGTAGAGAATCTTCTGTCAGAGATTTGGGACTATGGATAGGCTTACCTGGGTTCCCCTGTTCCAGTTTTATCCATGCTATACTCCCTGCTAAAGTTTTTGATGACCAGAGCTTAGAGTTAACATCACTAGGTCCACTTGTTCATGAATTCTTCTCCCCACCGTCTCCTCAACGCATGCAGACGTTATTCTTCCAAAAAATTATATCATGTCACTGTCTGAATTTATCTCCTGTATGTTCTGCCTCCTTAATGATCTTGACTTAGCCTTTAATTCAAATCTCTCTGACTACAGACATTTTTCTTAGCAGGCACAAGTCTCTCCCGTTTTAAATAAAACTCAGAAGAAAAAAAAAAATCCTCTGTATGCATCTCCGGTCAGCTGCCAATCTCTCTCTCCTGCTTTTCAAAGCCAAACTTTTTGAATTTTTTTTTTTTTTTTAAGATTTTGTCAGGGAGAGAGAGAGCAAAAGCAGGGGGAGGGGCAGGCAGGGAGAGAAGCAGGCTCCCCACGGAGCAGGGAGCCCGATGCGATGAGGGACTTGATCCCAGGACCCTGGGATGATGACCTGAGCCAAAGGCAGACGCTTAACCAACTGAGTCACCCAGGCGTCCCGAAATATTTCTTTACCCTCTTTGCATTGCCCCATCTTTCATTCATTCTAGTTTTGCCAGAAGTCCTTAGAAACAGCTCACTCCTGCTGTTAATTTTTTTTCCTGAGCTTTTCCAAGACATGCTTCTCTTACTGTTTCTCTCCTACTTTCCTGACTGCTATTCTTCTTGTCCCACCCTTAAATTCTGTGTATCTCAGGTTCTGATCTGGGTTTTTTCTTATTCTACACATTCTCCCTTGGCAATCTTTCCCATGTCCATAGCTTCAATTACCACCCAAATCGGCATGCCTAGCTCACATCTCCCTCTGTTGGGCTCACAGTTTACATGACCTAGTGCTTACTTGATCCTCACTTGGATTTCCCCAAGTGCCTTAAATAAAGATGTCATCTTCTTCTCCAAACTTATTTTTCCTCCACTGTTAACTTATTTTAGTGAATGGTACCATCACTCTCAACCAGGTGTTCATGGATTTTAATCTTGGTTTCTCCTTCTCCATCAACTTCCCCCACTCCCAGTCCAGCCAGTCATCAGGTTCCATTAATTCTATATTGGATCAAACTGTGCCTCCCCCCCCCAAAGATGTCCAAGTTCTAATGTGTCTTTACAGATAGGATCTTTACAGATGTGATTAAGTTAAGGATCTCAAGATGAGATCAAATGACTGGTATCCTATATGAGAAAGAGGAGGAAGGAGAGGGAAAACTGAGACCCAAAAGCAGGAGAGAAGGCCCTGTGCAGGCCCCTGAGAAGATCGGATTCATGCTGTCAAAGGCCAAAAAGCACCAAGGACTGCCAGCCCTACCAACACCTTGATTTCAGACTTCTGGCCTCCAAAACTGTGAAAGAACAAATTTCTGTTCTCACCACCAAGTTTGTGGTCATTTGTTATGTAGTCCTAGAAAAACTAATATATATACCTTCAAAATATCTCTTGAAACCCACCCACGATTCTCCCTCATCACTGCCCCTATCTAATTTAGGCCACAATTACAACAATCTTTTGCCTTGTCTCCCTGCTGCTAGTCTCGGCCCATCATTCTAAAATGCGTTAAATTTACCCTCCTGTTTACCATCTGTGAGTGGTTTACCAATGACTCCTGGATTAAGTCTAAATGCCTGGTATCATGGTTTACAGGACTTCCACTTTGGTTTTTGCTTATTCACATAGCCTTATTTCTCACCTCTTTTCACACTCACCCTCAGTTTTATGCTCTTGGCACAGTAATAATTTCTGATATTTATTGGACACTTTGTTCAGACACAGCTAAATCTCACGACAACCCTATAAGATAGGAACAAGTTTCTTTCAGTGTCTCAGCCTTTTTTCCTCTTGCTCTGGGGCTTTGCATATGCTGTCCTCTGCCTAAAATAACCTTACTTCCTCTTCACCTGTTTTCTGCCCCTTCTCCTCATCTGGCTACTTCACACCTACACTTTAGGACTCAGCTTATTCAGCATTCCCTCCATGAAGCATTCCTAGATCTTCCTAAATCCGGATTATGTGTCCCACCCCAATTACTCATAGTCCCATTACACCCTGCACTTCTCCTATCATAAGATACAATTGTCTTATATTTATATTTTTTCTTAGTCCATTTGGGCTACTCTAACAAAACATCACAGTCTGGGTGGGTTGTAAACAACAGACATTTATTTCTAACAGTTCTAGCTGAAGTCCGATGTCAGGGTGCCAGCGGTGGGTGAGGACCCTCTTTTGGGTTGCAGACTTCTCATTGTAAACTCACATGGTGGAAAAGGTAAGCAAGCTCTCTCCAGGGCCTGTTTTGTAAGAGCACTAATCCCATTTAAGAGGGCTCTACTCTCATGAGTAATAACCTCCCAAAGGCCTCTCTCCCAAATTCTATCACCTTGGGGATTAGGATTGCAACATATGAATGTGGGTGGAACACATTCAGACCATTGCAACTGGCCTGTATCTCACACTATTTTATGCGCCCTGTGGACTGAGGCTATACCTATTGCTTACCATTGTAACCCCACCCCTAGAATCAAGCATCATGCCTGACACATAAGAGATGCTCAATCAATATATGTTGAAGGGGCGCCTGGGTGGCTCAGTCGTTAAGCGTCTGCCTTCGGCTTGGGTCATGGTCCCAGGGTCCTGGGATCGAGCCCCACATCGGGCTCCCTTCTCAGCAGGAAGCCTGCTTCTTCCTCTCCCTCTCCCCCTGCTTGTGTTCCCTCTCTGTCAAATAAATAAAATCTTCAAAAAATATATATATGTTGAATAAATGAAAGAAACTTGAATAAAGGTTGCTAGTAGCATTATGTCTCTAACACCAGCTAGGATAGAAAGAGATGTATCCCCAGACTTGGTTGCCAACTGTTCCCGTCCTCAGAATTGATGCCCTAGGCCTTTGCCTTGGGCCAGTTCTCAAATACCATTTCATAGGAATTTCCTGAGACCTGTAAGGCCCATTAGTCCTCACCTCCCTATCATACTCCGCATTTCCCCAATGCAAGACTCTCCAGGTGGCCATCCTCTTCCATTCTGCTCTGCAATCCTCCCAAACCCTTCCTCTTCTTGCTCTTTTTTCCCTGTGTCCTCTGGAAATCCTGCGTATTCAGAACAAACTCACCCATTTTCTCATCCTTCCAACAAAATACTCCATCTCCTGGCTTTTACATGGAAAACGGCTTTCCCTTGAGAAGACCACCTTTTCTACTGCTACCTTGGTGGTCCTATTGGATCGATTATTCTTTCAGAACCCTGGGATATAAATCATCTAGTCCTTGAGGTTTGAATTCAGTTCTGACCATTTCCAAGTATTGGCTATTACACAGACGAATTAGAGGGGTCTATAAGGACTTGAAAACAGCAGTAAAGATGTTTATTTTGGAAAGATCCGGTAACTATGAATTGTTTTAAAACTTTCACTGAACCTAACCAATAGCCTCTGAATTTCCCTCACAACTACCAAATTCAAAATGAAAAACAAAACAAATGGCGCTTGTACAAACCTTGGAGACTACAGAAACACCACATACGCTGCTGATACTGCTCCTTAGCTAACACGTGGTTTCCTCTAGGTTGTAGGATCCATGGCCCATGACATACAGCTACTATAAGTAGGGATGGAGTCTTATCAATGAAACGTCTGGCCTAGAGCAGTACTCACATATTGATTTAATTTCTAATGGCCCACAATATGCTTGATTTTGTGGCAAATTCTAAAAAGCATTAGCTTTTTCTTTTATAACTTATCTAATTTCTAACCTTATGTGAACTGTTAGACTTTCCAGCTGTTAAGCTCCAGCAAGAAAGCTCCTATAGTCCAAAATGCAAATTGAAATGACTGATCTTTTTTGAGCACTTTCTGGTCTCTTATTCTGGCTCACTGAGCCATCTTCTGACCCATGACTTGTTTAAAGTGGATTAGTCAGGGGCGCCTGGGTAGCTCAGTCGTTAAGCGTCTGCCTTCGGCTCAGGTCATGATTCCAGGGCCCTAGGATCGAGCCCCGCATCGGGCTCCCTGCTCTGCGGGAAGCCTGCTTCTCCCTCTCCCACTCCCCCTGCTTGTGTTCCCGCTCTCGCTGTGTCTCTGTCAAATAAATAAAATCTTAAAAAAAAAACAAAAAACAAAGTGGATTAGTCATCCTGTATGACGACCTTTCTTGTGGTAAGTTAATACATTTAAGCTGGCAGTCTAATTTATTCAGATGTTTGTGTGAACTAGTCTCCCCAAGCTTTATTACCAGTAGATAAACTTTTTAAAAGAGTCCCTGAACCTGTGCTTTAGCCGTGTATCAGGCCCGACCCTGTTGTCTAACATAATATACTACTAATTGAAGCAATCCATTAGCTGGTCATACACAAATTGTAACGTCAAGTCATATGGAAATACGATTCTTTTTGGTATCTTACAGGCTGATTTTGATGATGGAAATTATCTACCTTGTGCTAATCAAGTTAAGGGCGTATATGAAGTGTTCATAATACATTTCCAGGTGAGATAAAACTCATTCATTTAATAAATATTCAGTAAGCATATCCTTTGTGCAAGGCCTTATGGTCGGGGTAGTAAAGTATATAAGAAAGAAAAATACATGGTGCCAGGTGCAAAACCCAGTTTGGTAGCAAAGGTCTCTATAAATAAAAATGCCAAGTAAATTGAGAACTAAATACAAATTTGAGCTGTGACAATCAGATGTTCTCATGTGAATAGTTAAGACAGTAGTTGAATTTCCAAGAAAGGAGCATCACTGTGGCTTAAAATGGCGAGGGATGCTTCACAAAGAAAGTGAAAAATATGTTGGGCTTTGGAAAGGAATGGGAATTGCAAGGCTTTCTTTCTTGCTACAGTATTATAATTAGAAACCAAGAATATGGGGTCTATCTGAACTTACCTTACACCCCAATTACAATATTATACTTTAGGTGAAAGAGTGACTCCTCTTGAGTAAAATGAGGGAAAACATTACCATTACTGAATAAACACAAATTCTAATGTTTGTTAGATTTTGCTATTAGATTAGTAAAATTAGTTTCCACAGAGTGGTGGGAATTGAAGCCAAGGAACAAGCTGAACAAATGGGAGATGAGGACATAGACTTCAAGAGAACGTCACTCTTTCAAAGTGCTTTGGAGGTAAGATGGAAAGGAGAGATAGAGGACAGAAACCAGAAGGAAATAAATGGTAAAAAGAGAGGGGTCATGATATTTGAGAGATCTGAGCATGACTGCAATTTGAATGAAAAGGAACTTGTAGAGAAGGAAAAAGAAAATTGATGGAGCCAGGTCCCAAAGGAGACAGAAAAGGTGGGCCTTGAAAAAAATACCTTTTCTCAGAAACTAAGGGAGTAAGGGAATGGTTATAAATAAATTTATAGCTGTGAGAGGTTTTTTGCTAAATGGCCTCATTATTTTTTGTGAAGTAAGAAATAATAACTGATGTTATTGTGAAGTAGGAGGGAGTGAAAAGGGGGTTTAAAGAGAATGGAGACAGTTTGAAATAGATCACGGACTAAGACAAAAGCATTAATGGTGGTGTTAACTACCAAACTGAGTTTGGAAATAATGAAAGTATAGTGGTTTTATGATTGTTTCTAGTATCTTAGCTGAATGGCTTATAGGGCCAGGCATATTATAGGACTGACCCAGAATTGTGAGTTGGATAACAGATAGAGGAGAAAGACAAGGAGGAAGGGAGTTGAGGGCATTGATGCCAGGCAGAATATAGCACCATTCTAGAAATGTGCTTTGGGAGAGAGATACCAGGAAAAATACAGAAAGGGATGGAAAGCACTGGTGAGAGAGCAGGTCATGTGACCAATTAAGAGATCAAGGCCAGATATGGAAGGAAGTGGGACCAAGAATAAACTGGAAGGCAATATTACAGGAATAGAGCTCTTGATGAGACTCTAGATCAGGCGTACTGGGGGTAATATGGATGGGAGAAGGGTATTGAAATCACTCAGAACTATTTTATAACAAAGTAGGGAGTATGGCCAAGGGAAATGGGTTGAAGTGGCCTTGGAACTGTGATACTTGGGTATTTGACAGATCATCCACATGAATGTTGAAATCTCCTAGAAAATGACGAGATAAATTGAGATTTGAAGGGTTAACATGATCCAGGTACAAAGATAAGAAAGCCTGGCAATCTCTGATAATCAATACATCTATAACATACAGCTCTTGACCACTTTACTACTGGCCTCTTATCCACTAGAGTGGTTTCTTTTGCAGGACACTGTATTTCACTTGAGGGATACAGGGATGGTAGTTCTAATTCATGGAATTGGTAAATGATCTTAAACACCTATCTTCACCATCTTAAAGATGCACTTTCTCACTGCAAAAGGAAATCCAAATGCCACCATAACAGGGGTTTATGAAAAAAAAAAAAAAGATATGTTTGAAACATAAAGTTCTGTCAGCATAAAGTATGTTGTATCTATCAAAAGGGACAAACAGATACTGTATAAAAATGCATAGTTTAGAAAATACCCGTACTTCATTTCAACAATTCTTTCTTCTCAGGGAGGTCTAAATAACACAAGACATTTAACTTCACTAATAGCTCTCTGAGCAAAACAGTAGGATCCAGGAACACACCATACATAGTTTTGTTTGCCTTGAAACAAAAAACCTGGGTTCAAGTTCCTGTTCTAACATCTACAGGTCTGTAACCTGAACACCTAATGCAGCGCTCGCACTACTACCAGCTGGGTGCCCTTAGCAAGTCATTTAACATCTCTGAGACACATATCTTCATCTGTAAAGAAGGAATTTTACCTATATATGAGTAATTACAAAGGGTAATAATGTTTTAGATATTATGGGAGCCACTTTTCCCCCTGAAAAATTATGTCACATATCCTGGTGGTCTGACCTTCATTTTCTCATTCTTAGTAAATCAGTAAAAATACCAAAGAAAAATTTGAAGCACCTGGATGGCTCAGTCAGTTAAGCATCTGACTCTTGATTTCAGCTCAGGTCATGATCTCAGGGTCGTGAGACTGAGCCCCATGTCAGGCTCTGCACTGGGCACGGAGCCTGCTTAAGATTCTCGCCCACTTTCCTTCTGCCTCTCCCCCCTAGAAAAAAAAAAAAGGAAATTCTGTTTCAATTGTAGAGGCATTTTTATCTACCTATTTTTTTAGTGGGGTATAAAAAATAAAAATGTTTTATTTAACTTTAAGAAAGTATCCTATACAGACCCAAAATTAACAAAGACATCAAAACTTAATTTTGCCACATTTAAGAATATTTTTGAAGAAATAAAAATTATAGGCTACCTATGTGCCTTTCCCTCCTATAGAGAACCTCTGTCCTGAAGTTTGTGTTTATAATTCCCAAACCTGTTTTTAAACCTTTATAATATTTTTTTAGAGATTTTATTTTTAAGTAATCTCTATACCCAACGTGAGGCTCGAACTTACAACCCCAAGATCAAGAGTCACATGCTCCACTGAATGAGCCAGCCAGGCACCCCTTTAAACTAATATATTCATAAACCACACAGTACTGTCTTACATTAATAAATGTACACTTAAGAAATATAATATGCCATTTAACTTGCCTTTTTTTTTTTTTTAAATCACCAAATTCTTGATTCACTTAACGCTGGCTTATTCATTTTAACTGTACAGCATTCCATTAAATGAATATAGCACAACTTACCCATTTTTATGTCACACTTTATTTCCAAATTTCATTATTATAAATAGTGTGATGAACATTCTTCCATGTCTCTCTGGCAAATATGTAGGAATGTTTACAGAGCATCTATATGTGTGTGTATATATATCCTAGTGGAATTGCTGGTTCATAGGGGTATGCACACGTTTAATTTTAGTAAATGAATATTGCCAAATTGCCCTCATAATGATTATATCAATTTATACTCCAGAAGATGGTACCTGAGAGTTCTATGTTATTTTTCAACATCCTCACCAACATCTGATACTCAGACCTCTAAAATGTTACCACCTTGACTGATGCAAATTATAATAACTTGATTTGACCCCATTGATCCTAATTGTTGGAGAACTTTGATTCCCCGACATTATTATCTTCTACTTCTCCTAACTTTCTGATAATAATAATTTCTTGGTCTCTTTTGCTAGCTTCTCTTCCTCTACCCACTTCTCTTGGCATTTGCAAGTCATCATCTTTGTTTATTCCCTTTTGAGCAGTCTTGTCCAGGCTATACTACTCACAACTAATTCTTCAAAATCTATAAATCACCTCTCTTCTAAATTTTAGACCCATATGCCTAGCTGCCTACTAATCTTATGGGACTTACATGTCCTATAAACACCTAAAATTCATTCTGAAAAGACCTCTCTTTCCCCCTCAATTTCTTCTTCCCAACTCTTACTGTTTAATGATACTGTCAAAGACAAAGTGTTTCATGCCTAAACCCTGGACATCATTAACAAAAAAAACTTCTCTATGCACTGCCCTCTCCCCTCCAACAAGTCAGCTGATCTAGGTCCCACCTTTTTTTTTTTTTTTTAAGATTTTATTTGAGAGACAGAGAGACTGAGAGAATGAGTGGGGAGAGGGGCAGAGGGAGAACAGATTTCCTGCAGAGCAGGGAGCCCGACATGGGACTCGATCCCAGAACCCTGGGATTATGACCTGAGCCAAAAGCAGATGCTTAACCAACTGAGCCACCCAAGCACCCGGTAGGTCCCACCTTCTTAACATCTCTTGCACCTTGCTCTCCTCCCCATACTTATTATTGTTGTCCTTACCACTTTTTGCGAGAGGTTATAGTGATCAGAAGCAAGCACTTTGGTGTTAGACACACCTGGGCTTGAATGCAGATTTTTATCACTTATAAACTGTGTCACCATGAGCAAATTATGATCAAGTTTTCTGTTAAATGGGAACAATACCTACGTCATGTGGTCTCTTCAAGGATTAAATGAGCTAACAAATGCAAAGTGCCCACTACACTGCCCAGCACATAGTAAGAGCTCAGTGACAGCTATTCTTCATTAGCTCAACTCGAGTGTTGTGATTAGTTTTGGTGCCTCCAATCTTTCTCCCCGCCCTCATGATCACATTGCTAGCAGAATTCTCACGTACCCTTCCCTATTTCTTCAATAACTGTCCTGTTTATACAAAGCCAAATCAAGTCTTTTAGGAAGTCATCTAACATACTTTAATCTGAGCCCTAGCCTCATTTCCTAGATTCTATTCTCACTAATTTACATAGTCCCTGAATATATGTTTCATGTATCTGTGCCTTTAGGTACATGCTATTATCTAAGAAACTGGTCTTTCTCTTTCCAAACTCTAGTGAATATTCTGTCAAGCTTTCCTAGTCCATCCAAAAAGAAATGAGTACTGACTCTAGGGGTTTATAAATTGCTGCTGCACTCATTTCTTGATTTGTCTGTCTCCTTTACTAGCCTGTAAAAAATGTGAGAGCAAGGTCTATGTCATCTATTCCCAATATGAAGCACAATTCCTGGGGGGTGGTAGGCATTCATTAACTACTGGATAGATAGAAGGAAGGACACTGGGACTGGCCTAATTCCACATCTTCTAAATAACTTTAAACTGTAGCATCAAGAAATCTGTCAAGTTCGATAACACTAGTGAAAGTTTCCATGAATGTCAAAATGATCATTGAAGGATGGAGGTATTACAGGTGGTTTTCTCTACTGTGAGAAAAGGCAAAACAATGTAAAGTTCTCCCGAGTGTGAAGTAAAATACTAGGGAAAAAAACAAAAAAAAACTGAGCTGTTAGTATCTAGGAAAAGATTATAAACTATTTCCTGAATATGCTGGCCCCATGTACTGCAGTCAACAAATAAGGATAACCAAGTCGAATACTGACAAACAGAAAAGAACATCCTTTTGCAAATACGAGTATAATGAATGCTTACCATGTGTCAGGCCTTGTGCTAATCACTTTCTACACAGTATCTATGTTACTTAATCCTTCCAACTATAAACTAGAAATTCTTATTATCTTGCCTAAGGGACCTGAACCAGGAGTTAAACCTAGTTCTGTCTCACCTAAAAGCTTATGTTCTCAACTACATCACACTATTGTACCAAGCCACAAAGTGGGCATTTAGTCACAAGGATCAGAGAAAAGTAACTAACACATAAGGCCAGGCTTCTATGTGAAGAGACTAACACAATTCAGATTTTCCAGTTTGTAAAGGTGAGGGAAGATCATCCATCTCTGTGAACTCAAGAATGGCGACAAACAGTATTAAAACCAGACTCATTTATCAAATCCTTTAACCAGCCAAGAACAAGCTAGACAGAATTGAGGCTTGTCTATAAAACAATTCCTTTTTTACTATAGAAAAACACTAGATTGGATAGATTTGGGATATCTACCCCAGAATATTATTTCAACAGATCTCACAAAGCAGGTTATAGTTTGATATAGGTCTGTGTATTATGTAAATCTCCTTTCCAGGTTCTACACTAACAGGCCAACATTTAGCTTTGAATTCTGTCTTTCCAAGAACCATGGTTCCTTTCACATCCGAGATCTGTAATAGTAACCCACTTGTTTATATAAAATGCAGTCCTTTAGGGACATGTACTTGATTGGGGGTTCGGTATGCATGGATTTCCAGAGAGTACTATCTAGCACCCTTCTTATTTAAAAGCCTATGCTTTGCTTTAGTACTCATCCACTCAAAAACTCAAGCATCTATCTCGCCATGGCAATTATGTTTTATGAGTTGCTTCGAAGGAGACAAGTTAGCAGGACATCCAACCAAACTATGAAGTGATTTTTTTTTTTCTTCGAATGCTAGCATCTCCAGTAGGACAGTAGCAGCATGGTTAAGTAGGAAAAACCATGGACTTTGAAAATAACCAGAAAGCTCTTGATGGAAAATTCAAACCTACGTTCTTCCCCTTTAATGTAAGATGGGGGAAAGTTAAATCTTTTCGCATTTACATAGTTGCTTTCTTCTTCAATCTAAGGAAAAAACTCAATACTATAAAATATTTTAAATTTCATCAAGGACAGTGGGCCTCAACTTTGGATACACCTTAAAATCACTGGGGGTGCGGGGAAAAGGAGATGATGACCCACGCCCGGGCCTGACTCCGCATCATTCAAATCAGAATCTCTGCAGGTAGGCCCAGCTATTGAGGGTTGTTTGTTTTTTAAATAGCCCCTGGGATTTTAATAAACAGGGTTAAGTTTATGACATAAAAGGATTCAATTGCCTATCCTAAATAAAGATCAACTATGGACAACAGCTTCTGGTTGTGATTAATACTGGCTATACGTCATGTGTCTAGAAATGACCATTGCAGACCCTACCCCAGTGTCTCCTTACTTGTAATCAAAGTAGAGATGGTAGGCTATAGATAACAGAGCTTTCTAGGTAGGTGGTTGGTATGTGTGTTACCCCTCAAACTGTTGGAAAGATGAAAAGCAACTACTGAATGACAATCTCTGTAGTGACTTAATTCCACTGGCTGTGATATTACCTGGGTGGCTGGTTGCTAAAGACATGAAGGATGAGTAGATTCACTGCCAACTTATGCGACAATGAACAGGCAACTGAAAAAGAGGATGGTCCTCCAGTCATCTGCTTCCTACAAGGCCAGTCACAACCATTCCATTGACAAACTACAGGGAAAAAAACAAGAATTAGATGTGAGAAATGTATTCAACATAAGTAAAATATAATGGATCTGTGGTATTTTGAGGAAATTCCTGAAGACCAACAGAGAGGCACAAGATGATGAATGGGAATACTCTAAATCAGATCTAAGCAAATTATGCTAACAGTAAACAAGGCTAGCTGAATACATGTTTCTGAATACTTCTATTACTGTTATTAATGCATAGTAAATTTATTAAAAGTTAATGAAGGGAAGAATTAATATTTTGTATTTCATAGTTCAGTACTTAAAGGATCTGGGAGATGTTTATTATTTACTTCTTTAAATGGCTTCCTTTTCATTTTTAAAGATATCAACCAGCAGTCTGACTACTTGAAGGCAAGTAAGTAGTTTGAAAGAAAGATAAAAAGTGGTGGTAGGTAATTTAATTATTATTAATGAAGAAACATAGAGTTTTGGAAGAACACTTTAGAAAACCCAGCACCTATCTCAATTGTGATGAAGCATCAAGCACTAGGCAATGGACCTGATAAACTTGCAGATGAAGTAAACAAGTGGCAAGTTCATAAAAGCCCATTAGGAAACTAGACTGGAAAGATAACAGAATGGTGTGGAGAAAGGCTTCTTGTTTGTTAAGACAATGCACAAGGCGGCAAACGTAATTATTAGCTGAAAGCAAGCCAGGGGACCCAAATCATATTCCAAAAATCTCTTTGCTCCTATGCTGTTTCTAAATAAGAGGATAATTTGTACTTACTGAGACCAAGTTGATTTAGCAACAGCAGAATCTTTATGTATCACAGGAAAATTTTATCACATATTCAAGATCACTATTTTTAAGAACTGTACCACTTGTGTGAAGTAATAGACTGTTAAAATAGACACAAGGCCTAATATAAAAAGTATAAGAACTACATTACAGTCTTTGTTAGATTGCCAAATGTCAACTTTACTTTTGCTTTACAGGCCACCTTGAAACAAAGTCTATGTTCTGTTTTTGGCATCTAGAACTCTATAGCACTGAACATTAATACTGCAAGCTTAACTATCATTGACAATTTAGTAAAAGTTCTAATTTAAACAGTACCGATTTTTTCTTCTGGCTACAATTCCAAGATGGTGTCATTTCAAAGGCAACTGGATAAACTGAGGCTGGAAACCTTGAAGACCTGCTTTCTACCACATACTGCTCCCTTTCCGCCTGCCCATCTTTGTGTCATCATAAAAGGAGTAGGTCTTGACGGAGGCAGCAGTGTCAGCTCAGCTGTATAACCTACAGCACAGTACACAAGATACTCTTCTGCTTTACTGAAGTCACCACTTTCTCCAGAACCTCCTGCACACTACCAATACTTTTAACATCCACCCTGTAGGTTGCATACTAAAAAAGGTTAAAGTGCAATTCAATAAAGAACAATAACCTTTTCCAAAAATGTTTTATTGCTACAAGTAGTGAGATTTCTAATCATCAAAATTGGAACAAAACTTAAGGTTTCAGCTCCCTATGGGGCAATACAGCCATTTCATGTGACTTTGTTTTTAATTTAGTTTTGGCAGTGGACTCAACAAAGTTTAGATGATAGCTGGATGGCATCAAGAAACCGTGCCTGTAACTTAAAGTGGCGCATGAGCTAGAACAGGAAGACCACCTTCCATCTGACAGGTCAGTCTTTCTTTGAACTCATTTCTTAGTAAGAGTTATTTCAAAATTTAAGGCTAGTAATTACTAAGTATATATGTATCTCGTAAGAAAATTTAACACTTCACTTTTTACCTTTTCCCAAACAGACGCTACACATGGCAACTGGAATATTCCTAGAAATCGTGCAGGAGAGAGAATTCCCTGAATTTATCACCACCTACCTGAAACTAGACCACATTTTTCTGGCCTCCTCTTACAATCACAGCTTTCATTTCACAGCTCTAACAGCAACACACCATGGAGTACAAACAGCACTGGAAAACAAGGGCCTGATAAAACCCACAGAAAAGCTATTCACTAATATTGGGACTACTTTTAGCCATGCTGTTACAGATCATACTTTATTTTGGTGCATAATAAATACAGAAGAATGTTGAAAATGTAGGACTCAACTATCTAATTAAAGCTGAGTAAACTAACCTAGTCAGAATTTGTTTTTTAAATGAGAAATGACAAGAGTAGTAAATATAAAGAAAAACAAAAATAACTTTACTTTCCTATGTTAATACAGGTCAAGGGACCCTTTCTTCTGAAAAGGGTTGATAACACCAGTTCTCAGCAATAAACATAAGGCACTTGTTTAGAATACAACATCACTGCATTTTTCCCCCCACTTGTTTTTCTAACCCTGTTTTCCCCCACAGTATCATTTGGAATTTAAATAGAGTGATGAGGCAAATGTGAGATGACCCAGTTGATACTACTCAGAGCAAGACAGTACAGTACAATGTTTTAGGGGTGCTGTCTGGACATAAAATGAACCCTGTCAAAGGTCCTCCGACACCAGACAATGTATCCACTATCAAGTAAACCTGAAAGAAAATAAAATATTTATTCAATAGTTCCAGTAAAATTGGGTTGGAGTACAATATACATTTTAGGAATTTAGCTCCTCACGGGTGGCATCTGCATCAAGAGTTCTGAGTACTTATGAATTTTCATTCTAAGACAATCTACATCATTTGAACATTATCAAGACAAATATATGAATTCCATTTCAATATACAGTAGCGTTTAAACATAATTCACACATACACCCCCTATTATATGGCTGGCGCCTCCTCCCAACACCTCAGTAGTGGCAGAGGTAGCACTAGTGTTCTTTCCCAACAATAAGAACTTCAGTTGCCACTCATAGGAGAAGTTGAAAAAAAGTTTGTTTTTTTGCCATCTGTTAAGATGTTCCTGAGACAGGGCCGGTTAAGAAAACAGAACAAAGCACTGGAGTTCAGTTTGTACTTCTCTTTACATCACTAAATCGTTAGACTGGGACGCGGAATGCAGGTCACGTACTATGAAAGGTTGAGTTTAGCACAACTGTCCAATCAGTAGAAGGATCAGGTCTCCTGAAAATTCCCTTTAGAATATACGTCCTATAAACTAAAAGTCCCACAAAAAAAGGTCAATTATATATACAACTGATTCACTTTACTTAATTTGCTTAAATCTTGCAAATGCCATGAGAATATTGAGCCTGAGGCCAGTTCTCAGTATACAGGTTTAACATTTTAAGGCTCATTTTCTCCATCAAAATTGCAGTTTTCAGCTTGCCTTTCAAACGAGGAGTTAGGAATTACATTCACCTGCCACCATCCTAGCCTCAATGAAATCTTAGTGCAGGAACGGCACTTACACCTGCATTACGGAGTTCCCCTGACATCGGCACTCAGCCCGTCCTGAACGCTCCCGTCGGCACTAGCCGTACAGCACATTACATTGCCTCTGGCTTGCACCTCTGTTTCCACCTGTGTGTTTTCACAGAAGCCCAACACAGATTAGTTGAAATATTCACACAACTGTTTTTCAAAACAATTTATTGCATCATATTTGGTACCTTATGTTTGACAACAAAAAGGAAATTACATCTGTAACTGCAGGAAAAAGAAGCTGGTCTGTTATTGAAAAAAAAAAATCTTGGGCCCTTTAAAAATTACAAAGTCTTGGGCTTGCCTGAAACAACTGAGCAAGAAATATATTCTTAGAAATGTAGGGCTTCAAGTATTACAAACCTGTGACACTGTGGAAAAATTCCAGAGGTATCTAAACTGCAGCACTTTTTTTCTGCATATCGTGAACAAGGCCTGCTGAGGTTTTTAACTATTAGTCTCTTGATCAGTCATAGAATGGTAGTCAGGAGTTCTGCTCTTTAACTTCAAGCCATGGTAGATTTTCTTTTTTCACTCTTGGGTGAAAAAATTCATGCGTGCTAATTAGTTGGTGCCACATCACAGTGCATTTGGTTCTTGCATTACAGTTTTAACAAGTTTGGCCAAAGACAATGCTGAAAGGTTTGCATTGCTATTTTAGTTCTTCAAGTTTTAGTTAAAATTGAGATTGTTCCAACTGGTTCCTTCAGTTAAAAACTGTGGTACAAGAACACCAAACTGATCATGTACAGTGAATTTTGGAAACACAACAAGCGTATTGAACACCCTCTAGGTTTCTTATAATTCTGCTTGGTATCTATATGTCCCAGCTTCTACAACATCAAGCATCTGTTGTAGGTTTCTCTGTAAATAGTGATTCACATTGCATACTTCCTATGGTCAGAATCAACCCCGTAACAGAATCAGTCAGATGCTAAAGCCCCAACAACTCTTTGTGCTCAGTGAAAGAATCCAGTGCTAAAACAGCGTTTATGCTGTCTGAGATATAGTAAAATCTCACAAGACAAATTTTAAAGTAATATTTCTGCCACACACCTGCTTTGTTAGCTGTAACAGCCTCCAGATTTTATATAAATTAGTTAAAAAACATGGGTGGGTAGGTAGGAATAGAATAAGGTATCTTTTTTTAATCCCTCAATTTTAGCAGCTTTTAATTTTTTAAGAAACTGAACCTATATCCTGTAATATGTTAGATATTTTATATATACTTTTTCAGCAGGATAAAAAACGTAAAACACTATTTGAAGGCAAGAACATTTACTCTTCTCATTCTGTGTGTAAGTTAGAGCAATGCAGCAGGTGCGTGACAAAAATATTATACACTAGATATGGTCCAAAGTCATTCCATTTGCTTGTTTAATGATGTTCAAATTTCATTGGCCAGTTCTTCAGTTTCTGCAGAACTATCTCCATTAACTGTGATCTTCATATCCTCTTCATATCCAGGAGGCATGAAAGCCAAAGCATAAGGGAAAAGCTTATGACAATTTGCTCTATAAACTTCAGCAGCTTCTTTACAGTCTCCTAGGCTACCATCACACAAGGCTTCTAATACCTCCATACATGTCTAAAGAAAGAGAAAAGGTCATGTTAAAGTTGTCAAAAAATAAGTTTTTACTGTGAATTCATTAGACATTTCATTATCCACAGATTCTCTAAACAAAAGGCAAAGGTACGTATTTAAGATACACAAAAGCATTTAACTCCCACATATACATTCCATAAGAATTAGCTTCTTTGGAATTGCAGGGTTTACACAAAAGGATGAATTTATAAACAGGGCCAGGACTAATGTTGGGCAAGCAAAGTGGTAGGGTGCTGCATTTAAAGACACACTCACTCTGAGCAAGTGCTCGACCCTAGGTGGCAACGCTGCCTCAGCTCCGGCTGGCGCTGTGTACAAACGTCAAAATTTCTATGGTAACAATCAGTTACTTAAACCTTTTACAGTTTTTTTTTTTTTTTAAGAGGCTTAGAGACAGTTAGCAATATCAAACATTGCTTTTCACCCTTGTGTTCAAATTGTAGGTTTCTCCACTAACTAAGCAGGAAAGGAAGTCTCAAACCAAAGGGCATAATGCAAGAAAAATTTGTTCATAAAAATTGGTAATTGTTTGGGGTGCCTGGGTGGCTCAGTTGGTTAAGCGACTGCCTTCGGCTCAGGTCATGATCCTGGAGTCCCGGGATCGAGTTCCGCATCGGGCTCCCTGCTCAGCAGGGAGTCTGCTTCTCCCTCTGACCCTCCCCCCTCTCATGCTCTCTCTATCTCATTCTCGCTCTCAAATAAATAAATAAAATCTTTAAAAAAAAAAAAAATTGGTAATTGTTTCAACCAAACCCCTCAGTATATCTTCTATTTGAAAATATTTCATGTTGACTTGCATTTCCCATGTTTTATTTATCTTTTCACTTGGAAAACATTATGTAGTTTGCAGACATATAATATCCAACACCTTTGCCAGTCTAGAAATGTTCTAATCTAAATGATGTATTAATTAGCAATCAACAAGTGCAATGTTTCTTGAAGATATTTCCTTCATTTGCTATTAAAGGAATATATCAAATGCTTATTTTATCTGGCCAATTATCACAGGAAGTAGCACTATGTCCTTTGTTTTTAGTCTAAACTAGAATCTGTATTTTGCAACACACCCATATATCTTTTACTCTACTTCATCTCATGTTACATTGCAAGTTATAAAATGAGTTTTAATTTGACCCCTGGCATATACATCTTCAATACGTCAGAATCTTCACTGAGGAGGAGCCTGTGGTGCAGTCAGTTAAGCGACTGACTCTTGGTTTCAGCTCAGGTGATGATCTCAGGGTGGTGATATCCAGCCGTGCATGGGGCTCAGTATGAGTCTGCTAAAGAGTCTCTTCTTCCTCTGCTCCTCCCCAGCCCTCCTGCATGCATGCATGCGCACTCTCTCAATCAGTAAATAAATAAATTAAAAAAAAAAAAAAATCTTCCTGGAGACCACTGTTTGCTCAGAAATGCACAGATATGGAGGCGCCTACGTGGCTCAGTTGGATGGGCATCCGACTCTTGATTTTGGCTCGGTTCAGGATCTCGGGTTGGTGAGACTGAGCTGCCCTGCGTGGGGAGTCTGCTTGGGATTCTCCCTCCCCCCACTCATGCACGCCCTCTCTCTCACTCTCTCTAAAATAAATATTTTTTTAAAAATGCACAGATATGAACTGAAATCTAAAATTAACTGTGGAATACATACATGATTTTACTAAAACATATTTCTAGAAAAAAATATAAGTAAGAGATGTGGAACTAGTTCTTGAATGCCAAGGAGCCTGCTGTGTATGTGTGCACACACAGACAATCCTAAATAAATTTAAGATAAGGTTAGTTTCTGATATGGATTCAGAACTGTTTGGTAAACAGTACGCATAAATAACAAAAACAATTATTTGATGAAAATTATTCTCTTCGTTTAAAGAGAAACTGAAAGTAGTCAGGTATTATTAATAGAGATTATGAGAAACTCTTTACCTGGAGGTTTCTGTTAGTGAGGGATTCATCAAGTGTTGTTGCCAACTCTATAGCTCGCTTCTGACTAGAAGGATCTAAATAATATACCATTTTGGCAGCTAAAGGAGAAGAAAAAAGGAAATTTGTTTTTATTTAAAAGTAAAACCAGCATCTTATCCTCTATCCATTCAAATCTAAATGTAACATATATGGCACTTTATTAGAAAAATGCAAACAGCCATTTGAAACACTGTTTAAAAAAATAAAAAACCCTGAGAAGATAGACCAAAAATAGCCTAACTACAATTAAAGTAAAAAAAACTGTGAAGAAATAAAATACTCTAATAATAGTTGTTTTTGTGTAGTGGGACCATGGATAGGTTTCTTCTTTCTAAAATGAACATAATTTGGGGCTGAGGGGAATACTCCACTAAATGTGGTTGGGGTGAGGATGTGGGAGGAGGGAGAGATACCCAACCTTGATGGTATGAGCCAAAAAGCTGAATTCAGAATTCCACAAAGGCATACAAAGCTGCTGGGCTTCTTAGCCAGGTATTCTAAAAGCATCCTACTAAAGCACTACCCACATGGTCCCATCAAGTCCAGACTTTGGACTGCTAGCACAGACCCCTGCCTGTGAAATGGTTTCAGGTGCTTTGCACTGTTCAGTTTAATATCTTATATAAGCATGAGAAATAGAAGATGATGGTCACATCCAAGTGAATTTTAAGAGCATGCTGAAGGGAGAAAGAAAAAAAACAGAAAGCTCCTCCCTCCTTCATTATATGTAATATACAGCTAAATGCAGTATACTTGCTTTGTTGTAAAGACTATGCTGAACCAGGAGAAACTACTGACCTTGTTTCACAGTAATAATTTTGTCTAAGAAATTTAAAAATAGGAAGCATATTTAAGCTGCCTATTTTCATAAGATCAAAATGTGAGATAATCACAATGCCTCTTCCATGTGAGAAATGTGTAACCTTGTCACTGATCCATTAAGATAAAAACTGAAATTGTTTTAGAAGGCTAAGATAAAAAGAAAATAAAGTGATTACCTGATAATCTGTGTGGCAATGAATCAGAATTCCTTTTCAGAAAAGTTTCATTAAAATTCTTTGGATTCGTTGCTCCAAAAAGACGATTCATTTCTTGTTTTAATACTGTTCTAACTGTATCAGGTAAATCTTTACTTTCACACACTGCTGAACAAATTAAAAACAAACTCAATTAGTAGATACTCTGATACAGTTTGCAGAAGTTAAAGAAATTATTTACTTGAAGAGTACAATGAAATAATTATATGTAAAAACTAGATGAACCTACTTATAATTCAATATTTAAAGAGCTTATTATATAAATGTAAAGAATGTGTGTCAGCAGAATAATCTAATGATTTTCTACTGGCATTCAAAGACATTTCATTGATAAACGATGCATTTTCTGGGAAAAAAAAAAAAGCAAAACAGATAATGAAAGACGTTAATTCTGTAGCCTTCTAAGCCCCTAGGGGCTGCCCCCCTCAACTTTAAATCAAGTCTGTAAACTAGGGGCTTTGATGACACCTACCTGATAAATACTGTCACAGTAATTATGCAGTGCTGAAGAAAACAGAATTTTCCTCACCTCCATCTTCTATACCCAAGTAAGGCATTACAAAATTTATCAATTTTAAAAGAAAACATGATTGACTTCATTGACCTTTATTTGTAGGGGCTATGTAAACTGAGTTATCACTATATAGTAAATTCCAAAGGACCACCAAAGTATTTTCCTGTAAGGAATACATGCTAGTAATCCTATTCCCAGAGCTTGGGATTTAGAGATGGAAAAGCGGACCCCCCACAAGCTCTCTGGACTGAATTTTAGTACGCTTTTTTTTTTTTTTTTCCATTATTATTTTGGTATAGAGAGACAGTCTGAAGCTTTGAGCCAGACAGACCTGGGTATGGATCTAGGCTTGGACAAGTCACAACCTCTCTGAACTTACTTCTTGATCTGTAAAATTGAGGAAATACCCAACCTAAAATGATCACAGTAAGGAAAAGTTATATATAAAAGAGCTAATTATATAATAGCTAAATATATAATTTGATAAATTGTTAATTATGGTTAGGAACCATGGTGGTCACTTTCAAATGTTGTACTGATGAATATGTATCCTATATATACATAACTCATCATGTGAAGCAAAAGTTGCACAGAACACTAACCCTAACTTTGTGCTATGCATTCTGTTATTTTCTACTCTATTCTATTTTACATTTTCAAATGGTAGTAATGACTCACTAAACTGCCTTCATTATCTCCCCAATGGATCACTACCCTAAGTTTAAAAAACACTGAACTCGGGCGCCTGGGTGGCTCAGTTGGTTAAGTGACTGCCTTCGGCTCAGGTCATGATCCTGGAGTCCCTGCATCGAGTCCCGCATCGGGCTCCCTGCTCAGCGGGGAGTCTGCTTCTCCCTCTGACCCTCCCCCCTCTTATGTGCTCTCTCTCTCAGTCTCTCTCTCTCAAATAAATAAATAAAATCTTAAAAAAACAAAACAAAAAACACTGAACTCTTGAGTAGTAAACATCTGTATGAAATATTCTACACATAATTATTATGTACCTGAATAACTGACTGATATGCCCTTTGTTGGTTAAATAACATTTCCTCTATCATTCTATAGAATTGAGTGGTTCAATTAAATGAGGTGGGTTTTTTCCCCAATTAAATAAGTTATTAAAGAATTTAGCTTAACCTCCATTACAGCTGTACTTTCAACTTGGCTTTTGCAATTTATTAGTATTTGTTTTTCAGGGGAGGCAGGAGTGCAGAGAGAACTGAAAGAAAAGTTGGTAAAATAGATTACAGCCAATTACAATGAACATTATGTCAAAACCACAGGTTTTCTATAAAATATGTTATTTCCACAAGCCTTGTTGGTTTCCATGAAGTGCTTTCCGGACACTATATGTAGATGGGAAAGTAACTGTATAGTTACATTAGAGTTGGTTATAGGTGGAAGCTAAGCTTTTCATGTTTTTTATTACCTTTATTAAATTTGTTTTCCTCAGATTAAAACAATCTCCCCAGAAAAATCAAACTGCTTTAAAAAAAAAAAAGCCCACACAACTAAAAACAAATATATATATATACGTATATATATATATATATATATACACACACAGGATATATAAAGAGGAAATATTTATGTAACTCCTAACTTCCACTAATAGCTACTTCCAAAAACATTTCCTCACTAAATCACAAAATGTTAGAGGCTGACTCTGTTTGCTCCCCTACATTATGTAGATTGGAACTGTAATTTCTAGGAAGATACTAACTAATTACAACAACAACAAAAAATCTGCTGCAGTGTAACTTAGGATGCTGTATGAAATTCTACAGAATGCAATTTTACCTGTATCTTTAAGGAACGGAGCAACCTCAAATGTCACAGGTCTATTAGATAAGCTTTTATTGCTAAAGACTAGTGGGCTGTGGGATCAATCTAAAAATCCTCTGAAAGTGATTAACAAAAAATACTGAAGTCTCAGGAAAATAAAAAATCCCAGACTATTTATCTTCCTTGATATCTTCTGACACAATGTCTTGTGAATCATGGAAAAGTAATACTTGACTGAGGGAAGGGTAATAAAACCTTCTCTAAGAGGCTTTTGATTGGAGTCTTCTGACATCTTAAAATTAATGTTTGGTTCATGCTATTAGCTTACTGCAGGTTAAATTAATTTAGTAATCATCAATGGTTTAAAAGTCGCACTGAAAAGGCTGATTCTTAGCAAAAAGACTTTCCCTTGTTCCTAGGCTAGCTGGCATTTTTGTTAATAATTTGGGTAGAAAATGCTCATATTTTGTGTGAGATAAAGACTACTCACTACTAGGTTAAAGCACAACCTACTAAGTGATTACCACTCAAAACAGTGAAGTAGGTAAATGAGAGTATTAATGAAGTTTTTAGGAGAGAAATGCATAACTACAGAAGACAAATAATCTGCAGATAAAAGAAAGGAGTTTGTACAAATGAGAGAGGAAAAGACAAAAGATTCACTGCAGAACAAGATGACCAGTTATTTTAAAAGCATTGTAAGCGAATAATAAAACTGAATACCTAAGCTCCTATCTTTTACTTAACACTGAACAGAAATGTAGTTTAAATTGCTCTAAGTCCTACAACTTAAAAAAAAAAAAAAAAGAATAATTTGAAAATCATCTTCGTAATTAAAAGGGGGAGAGGAAGATGACCTATCTGGTAAATTACTTTATGTAGCAGATACTAATTACACTGGTACTATAACAACATTCTGAAGATTTGAAGGGTACTCATAACCAGACTAAAATGAGTATATTTATTTAGAGAAGTTTCTATTATTAATAAAATAGGTATCGGCGCTCCTTTTTATACCCATACTTCCCAGAAAGGTGTTACTGTGGGAATTTCTTTGTAAAGAAGGAGTTAGTACAATATAACTTGACATGACAAATGTGTTCTTGAAAAATTACTTCAGGGGCACCTGAGTGGCTCAGTCGTTAAGCATCTGCCTTCGGCTCAGGTCATGATCCCAGGGTCCTGGGATCGAGCCCCACATCGGGCTCCCCGCTCAGCAGGAAGCCTGCTTCTCCCTCTCCCGCTCCCCCTGCTTGTGTTCCCTCTCTTGCTGTCTCTCTGTCAAATGAACAAATAAAAATATAAAAAAAAAAAGAAAAATTACTTCAAAGTTAATTTTTTTAAAGTACCAAATATATTAGTTAAAGGAACCCTGTGGGGTATATCAAAGATGCCCTAACTCTGTGCTTCTGTAGTTTCACAAATAGCTCTATACAGTACACACCTGTTCTTAACAAAGGTAAGAACCGTGCATCTTTATCACTCCAAATTATCACTTTACTGCCTAAATTTAGTCAAAATAAGGATTACTTTGTAACTCCTGACAATGCTGTCAGCTAAACATGTGGAGCAATGCGCAAAGCTGAAAGGGACACTAAATAATTCTACCTTTACATCAGGACCATCCTGCCTTTGTTCTTCTGAAGTCCATGAGCATTTTAATTCCTGAAACAACTGTTCCAAGGAAACAGTTGTATGTTCATCAATCCACACCCATACTATAAGCAAATATATTTAGATATGCCACTTTTAATTCCTATTTCAAAGGGAAATCTCCAAATCCAGAGGATTTATATGTATTATTTTACTACCTTTTAGGAAAGAGTTGATTATACAAAATAAAGTGTGTATTTTAATTTTGAAAACAGCTTAAGTGCACTCCATCCTAACCAAGAATGGATTTAAGACCATTACTCCTGGCCTTCATTTTCTGACTCATGATTTCAAAAAGAATTTAATACATAAAGATGAGAAACAAATTTTTTTATTTTCTCTAAATATAGCAATTCTTTCTTCTGTTTTCTATAAGGTGGTTATTTATTACTTCCATAATTTAAGACACTGAAAAACATCTCTATGATTCAGTATCTATAACAGGAATCTTTTTTTGACAAGCATAAATATAAATTAAGTAAGGTTTACTTTTTCTTAGAAGTCAAACAATGGTCTTAATCAGGACAATTTTAGCATTTTTCAAAAGACTGACTGCGATGCCTGTTTTAATCACATTATTTAGATATGTATGGATTCATATGTGGCTCAGTATTCAGCAACGAGATAGGTAATTTAACAGTATTTGCAGATTGTTCTATTAAAGATTCAATATCCCCTCTCCGAAGAGTCACTTAAAAATCAAAACACCACCACCACTTGACTACAGGAGTACTTTAGCTATCATTCCTGCTTCATTACTAATTATTTGTGTTACCCTGAATAAGTCATTTAATCTTTTAAGGTTCTAGATTTCTCAACTATAAAATGAAAAATAATTAGCATAAAATTCCACCTTTTACACTCTAAAATTCTGTAGTTCTACTTCACATTAAAAGTAACATATGGATCTTACTATGAAAATATTTGAAAAGTAGTGATTGCCTTAAAGTTCTTTTAAATCTGTATTTAGTAACAAAACTTTTATGACTCCAAGAATTCTGAAGACAGATAAATAAGGAGATAGCTAGTCAATTTCAGAGATTTTTCAGTTTTAGAAGAATTTATTAAAAAGCTTTACACAATGAGTATGATTCAAAATTTCAACATACATGTAACTTTTTAGAAACAGAAACAAAGGTGATTCTCAAATATTCGGACTGAACAATTCTGTATCAAGATCAAGTAACATTTCTAGCCTTAAAGACCTTCATCACAAAGAAAAGAACCCTGCTTTTCCCCTTAGCTAATTTAAAATGTAACAGCTTTAAAATGATCTGAGTTTATGACAAACTTATATAGATTACTTATACAGTCACTATCAACTACTGTAATCAAATACTTAAGTAATGTAAAACAAAAAAACATACCAGTACTAAAGAGTCGAATCATACACTCATGAAGCCAGGGATGACTAGAATCAATAGCAAATGCCCTCTTTACTGATTGTAGCATCAAAAGAAACTTTTCTATAAAAAGAAAAAGTAAGATATATTTTGATCATTTGATAAAATAAGCTGCCCTCTTGGAGGACTAATTTAAGAGAATTACAAATAGAGAAACTAATTTAGAGTCAATCACATCTGAACTGCAACATGAGTGAAGCAAATGATTTCCTCAGATTAGCAACATTAGCTAATATTTTCCACACCATATTCCTTAAGAAAAAATGTTTTTAAGAAAAAAATATTTTATGAAGTACAAAAAATTTAGATAGCATTCAACAATATTTGAACTAATGCCATATAAACAAAATTTGAAGCCATTTCATTTCTTAACCTCCTTTAATAAAAATAGAGATTTTCTGCACTACTTATAAAACTTCATTGTTTATACTTCAAACTAGTTCCTTTCTTGGATTTTGAGACATTCACGTGAAATGGTTTCCCTCCTACTTGAGTGTCCTCTCCTAATTAATCACCTGGTTCCTCTTCCTCCTCAAAAGGTACAATATTCACCAAGGTTATGTTTTCAGTGATTTCTAGTATCTTTCCATATTATCCTCACACTCACACCCCCATGTTTCCCAAGCTTCAGTAGTGTTTCCACCTGTTGAATGGAAATGTCACCTGATTAAGTCCCATCTAAAACCACCTCTTTGTTAAGACTTCCCTAATTTGGTACCATTCTCCAAATGACAAAATTCAAAACTCCAGGCTCCTCTGACATTTCTTTTTCCCTTACTCCAACACTCAGAAAGCTAAAAATACTGCCATACTCTTTGTTACTACCCATTTCACACGACTACAGTGAATTCCAAATGCTGAAGAGCCCTTCAGAGGTTAGAATACAACTAAGCCAACTGTAAGGAATTTAGATTGCCCTTCCCCACTTTAAGCAGAACAGCTTTTTTATACTTCAGGATTCCATTTAAGAAGATTTGTTGTATTGGGGCATCTGGGTGGCTCAGTCGGTTAAGTGTCTGACTCTTGATTTTGGCTCAGGTTATGATCAATGGGCTCCACTTGTGGAGCCTGCTTAAGATTCTCTCTCCCTCACTCCCCTCAGCCCCCCCAACTGCTCCCACGCTCTCTCTAAATAAACAAGAAAGAAAGAAAGAAAGAAAGAAAGAAAGAAAGAAAGAAAGGAAAAGGGGAGTTGTATTAACTTTTCTTTAAAAGAAATTACTGGACTATATTAAACTTCTTTTCCAAATTATAACACAATCATTTTGGAAAACAGAAATATAATGGAAACCATTGTAATCACTCAAATCCATCAAGAGACCATCGGTTATTTTTTGATCTATTTCTTCCTGGCCCTTTTGCTATCTTACATACCCATGTAAATATCTTAATAAAAATTAAACTATAGTTTTTGTGTCCTATTTCCAAGCAATGCTATATAGCAACCTTTACCTGACATTATTAATTACTTTGGATAAACATGATTTTTTAGTGGATACTCTACAGAGGTACCATTTTATTCAATCTCTTTTAGAACAGTTACACTGCTTGGAGCAACAACCTTCTGTCAGATCTTACTAACCAATTTCTCTTCCCTTCAATATGCATCACCTTAATGATACACTTTTTTTTTTTTTTTTTAATGAACCACCTGAATTACAGCAATTCAATACCACAAAGTCTTAGTATCTATATGTAGTCTAGGCATTCTAAACAAGACAACCAAGACCTTCCATTATCTTTTACCTGACTCTGGCAATATAGACAACCTCAACATTATTTAAGCATACTTGTGTTTTCTTAATGCATCCTCTTCCTTTCTATGCAACTTTTCTTTTAGAAATATGATCCATCTTTCAAGATACACCTTAAGCACCACACTTTCTAATAACAGCTAATAATAACCAACATTTATTCAATGCTCCCTTTGTATCAGGCACTAATCAAACCTCTGTTATCATTAACTAATTTTATTCACACCCGTACATGGTAACTACTATATTTGACCTTATGTATGAATATCTATTGTTGATTTTAATGTCCTAGGAGAGATAATAGTATCATTATACCTCCCCACAATATCTTGTACATATAGCAGGCATTTCTGTGAGAAGCTACATTGGGAAAAAATCCTACAGTGGTGAGACTATTGGATTTGGGTGACTACATCTAAGAAATAACAGTGATCAATTTTATCAGGGCCACTATACCCTAATTGCCTACCTTTCCTAAAGTAAATCTCAAAGGCAAAAAGATGCGTTTCTATCTTGTTCTTCACCAAGTTCTTCAACGGTGTTAAAAACTTAATAGCTTCTTCCAATGGAGTTTCAACCTAACAAAAATAAAAGATATTATACAAGTGGAAGCAAGATGGGGGGGGGGGGGAGGATGTGAATAACACTTCACTTTCTGGGTTTTTTTCTTTTTTCTTTTTGGTAAAAATCACTTACCCATTACCCAGAAATACTGTCATATTTTAACCTCCCATAATCTAAAGGAAGGGGATTTTGAACTCTACAACTCTTCACTGGTTTTTAACCATAGATACTACATTATCTCTGGATAGAAACTATCCAACAAGTGAAGCGAAAGATAAAACAGAACCAGGGAAAGACAGTGAGATGAACAGGTTAAGGTAGCCAAGGGGTAGGGCGGGGGGAGGACAGAGAGATGTTAAACAGGATGAAGAGGGATTAAGAAAGAGAGAGAGAGAATATTATAGAATGAGTCAACATTCTTTTTAAGTTCAAAGTGAAGTATAATCAAGTTATTAAAAAAAAGCAGTACAATATCCATTCTATCTTGCTTTTGTTCTAATACAAAATCTATAGTATCCATATTTATTCCAATGCCACGGCATTTAAGAAGATTTATATTTATCGAACTGTCTCTACCACCCTTTATTAATTATATAGATGTCATATTAATTACATACTTGTAGTAATTCCTGGGCAGGTATAATATTTACTACATAACTGTGTTACTGTTACATTCCTAGACTGAGTATCTAGACAAAATTCTTCTCTGTAGACTGGGATGGGGGTGGGGAGCAATACCATATTTATCAGAAGGCACCAAACATCCATGCCTGTATTTGCCTTGTCTCATCACAGAGGTAGTAACAATTTATCCTTGATGGAATTTGGATTTGCCATAGCTGTACAACATGCCTCTGCTAATACGCTAATTGTGGTTTTACCAACACAGATTCTGGCTAAGGAAATTACTTCACAGCAGTAAAAAACAAAACAAAAAACAAAACACCTTAAGCAAAAAAGTGATGTCTAGGAGTTTTACCTTATACTAGCATGTAAACCAGCTGGCATTATTCTGAAGAATACACGCTCTAAACAAGAAATCAATATATGGCACTGTCACTCTACTAGCTGTAGATACCAAGAGACAGAGGGGAGAGAGGGGCCCTCCTAAGGATGCCTTTCTCACACATTTGTAAATATTTTGCTTCTTATTCCCACGATTCTATGTACTACTGAGTTGGGATTTGTGGTATACAGGGGAAAAATGTCTACTAGAGAAAGGTAAAGAACTGGAAACTGAAATTGTAATGAAGCTGTATCAAGTTTTTCAAGACTTTCAAAGCAGACCAAAATGAGGATCGCTGTATTGACCAGGGTAATTTACTACCAGGGAGATAAGGCTGCTGTCACAAAATGGAAACAAGGACTAGAGGGAAGCTAAGGCAATACTAGCATTATACTTACTGAAATCAAGTATTTAAAGTTGGAAAAAGAAGAGAAATTCTGCCTGCAATTCTAATAAATGAGAACCTATGCCTCCACAAAAAATCTGGATCTGTTGTCCCCACGTTTCTGTGTGCCTCACATAGGTAAGATTTTTGTCAGGCTAAATCTAAGTGTTTAAACATATGTACATAACCACAATAAAGCTAACTACATTCTATATTCATACATACATAATGAAGTATAGAGTTATATATACAAAAGCATATAAACAGGGATGAGTTCTATAATCAGTGCTTAAGATTAAAAAAAAAAGGAAAAAGTATCAAGGGGTGCCTGGGTGGCTCAGTTGTTGAGCGTCTGCCTTCAGCTCGGGTCATGATCCCAGGGTCCTGGGATCGAGCCCCACATCAGGCTCCCTGCTCGGCGGGAAGCCTGCTTCTCCCTCTCCCACTCCACCTGCTTGTATTCCCTCTCTGGCTGTCTCTCCCTCTGTGTCAAATAAATAAAATCTTAAAAAAAAAAAAAAGTATCACCAAAACTACCCTTGAAAAATCCCTAAAGTTGTAAAGACAGACACATAGAAATGAATATATTTATCACTACTTTGCATTCTGTGCATGAAAACCATATTAAGTACCAAAATGAGAATCACTGTAGCAAAATGTTCACCCTGGGAGAGGCACACAGGAACTGACATGGAATAAACAAATGGTAGTCACACTTCCTGGGTCTCATACTCAGTTGGGGTCCTGTGTTCAATGAGGGGAGTACTGGATGAATTTGCCAGAATTATGCATACTCATTTCTGTCTCTCAAAAAAAAAATTACATCTAGTCATGAAGATTTGAATTTACTTAAGTTTAAAGAGATGTATAATGGGACTGCACTGTGGTGATGGGCAATATGAGATTTGCAAGGGCGGTTCTGATCATATGCAATTTTAAAATTTATAAACCAATGTGAAGTCTAATCCGTATTACAATATGTTGTATAAGAATACACCTCCCTATACTCGCAGAATAGCAACAGAAAGTTTAAAACTATTAAATCCTATACAGACAGAATACTAAGAACACATTGATAAGGAGGAACGTACGTGTGCACAGAAGGAAAAAAATAATCCAGCTGAGATGAATACTACCTCCTGAAGGCAAGAAGGAACATAGGATGGGTGATACATGAGGGAACTCATAAATACCAACTACTGCCTCATGAGAAGTTGGAGAAACAAAGACTTCAGGTTTATACTCAGTTAACTGAATATTAAACTCACTAAACCTCTTATTTTCCTTTTTTCTTTAACTGGAATTACTGCTAACTTAATAATGCTTTTATTTTATTATTACATATATAAAATCCTGAACTGGTGACACTGAATATATCATTTGTAACATTAAGAATGATAAAATATAAGATGATAAAAAATCAGAATCTAGAGACTGCAAATCCAGATTTGGCAGGCAGCTTTTAAAATAGCCTACAATGCCATACTTTATCATGATGGCTTGGTGTAATCTAGCACTGCCACCACACTGGGGATACAAGTAAGTGTGGATGCTATTAGAAGGGGGCATCCTGGAGGCAGTTATCCTAGGAAGAGAAGTGTGTTATGTGCCTAACAGGTAAGAACAGTATATATTAAACAGCAGCCTATGAAAGTGGGTACCTTCCACTGGGCTCTTTCCAAATAAAGCACTTTCTGTAGGCATTATTTTCTTCTGAGACTCTACAAACCTCTAGCTATAAATAATTAAACTATAAGTTGACATCTGGCCCAAAAGCAGCTATGATAAGCTGGACACAAGGAAAACCCAATAGTCTATAAGGAGGCCTGGTATAAGAATTCTGCTCTGTGGGGGTAAGTAATCTTTATTAGACAGTGACTAAATAATCCAAATAGATCCTCTCTCTAAGAAGTATAATGGAAGATATAAAGTGTTACAAAGAGAAAAGTCAGTAAGAAAAGTCATGGGCTATAGAGAAAGTATGTAGAAAGAATGGGGGTGGCAGACCGTCAGTGACAGTGGTAAAAGTGGTAGTAATAAAGAAAGCTGAAGTATAAAGATGGAAGGCCCTTAAAGCCGGTATTATCCCTGAATAACTTTGCAATTCTCCATGAGGCCTAAAAGGCAATTTTCTGTGCCTCCTCACTATTCTGTATATTCTTCCAATAAACTCCCAACAATAAAAAGATAGTATCTTTGGGGCACCTGGGTGGCTCAGTTGGTTGGGCGGCTGCCTTCGGCTCAGGTCATGATCCTGGAGTCCCGGGATCGCATCAGGCTTCCTGCTCGGCAGGGGGTCTGCTTCTCCCTCTGACCCTCCCCCCTCTCATGCTCTCTCTCTCCCATTCTCTCTCTCAAATGAATAAATAAATTTTTTTAAAAAAAAAAAAGATAGTATCTTTGTCCTAGAAGTTATACAATTATTTGTGAAAGGATGTCAATATATCCTTTGAAATCTAAGCTAGATTTCTCTATGGTTCTTAGCAATACTGCTATGAGGTATTATTGTCCATCTGCTCTGATATAATCCTAAAACTATTTTCCAACTCTACTTATTAGGTATTATAATTTTTCTCAGTTCTAAGGCAGTTGATTTTTATTTTTTTAGTTACTAGTGAGGCTAATACTGAACTCTAGTGCTTACTATATTTATTGCTTTAACATAATAAACCATGCAATTATTTTCACATGGAGTAGCTGAACACCAACGGCCAGAAGTGCATAGGTATGTTATTAATCAAAATGGTTCATCTGACAATGAATACCTTGGTTTCAGCTTAATGGTTAAAAATGGCAGATATGATTTTTGGCTTGGGGGAAAATATTTAGGGACTTTTAAAGAGATTAGGTTCAAATAGCAAAGTCCAATAAAGAAAAACTGTAAACTGACACGTGGGTGAAAGATATACATATACACTTACTTTTCAATAAGCTCAATTTGGTCTAGATATAAAAAGGTGCATGTTACCACTTATAACAGATGCTACATTCTTTGCACATATAGTTCCTTTAATCCTAACATCCCTGCCTAGTAGGGATTTCTTCCTAGTCCCTTTTTATACACGAGAAAACCATCAGAGAGGTGAGACAAAGTGTCCAAGATACACAGTGAAGTAGAAGCGCTGATATGTGGACCCAGATCAGAATGACTCAAAAGCCAAAACTTTCCACTATACCATACTAGATTACTCTGGATCAGGATCATTGTTCCAAGTTTTAAATGTGAAATATGATCAAGAAAGAAAGAAAGAGAAAGAGAGAGAGAAAGAAAGTAGACTAAAAATTAAAATGATTTTTCACTCTAAAAATCTATAATCAAATTGGTTAAATAAGACAGTATAAAATGACAATAGCTGGTCATGAAATTTCACTCAATTGTGCTCAACACTATTATTAAGTACCTTGGCCAGTTTCTCAGGGATAAGTTCTTCTTTTGGCCCTCCAATTTCCTCATCATCATCATCCTTTTTCTTTTTCTGATTTCTCTGCTGCTTTTCTTTTTCTGCATTTTTTTTCTCTTCTTCTATCTGGGCTTTCTTTTGAGCTCTTCTTTGTTTATTACGTAGCTTCTTTAGCTCTTTGTCAGACATGTTTGCTGTAGGCAATATGTGTTAATTAATTAAAAGCATTATTAGTAATGACCAATCACTAACATTCTCATTAAAACTCCCATAAAAAATATTACATGTTATACATGTTCATGTGCCTATGTGTACCTAGCCATTTAATGGTTCCACATTCGATAGAGAACACTGTGATCTCTTCAAAAAAATGTTTTGAAACCAGGTGGAGACCTGGTGCCACAACCACAGCAAAACATAAAAGCATACAAATTGCTCCAGCAATATACTTGCAGTTCTAGAAATGTAACAAGCTGTCTCATATTTCTCTCATAATATCTATGGCCTTAGACTATGCTTTTTCTTAGTTATGCCTCTCTAACCTTGTCAGTTATTCATTCTCTACTCAGTGCTGCCACTATGACATATATTTTACTTGTCACAATACTTCATTTATACATGTGGATCTCTTTTAGACTGTGAACTCCTTGGTGGAAGAGACCCTGTCTTACTTGTAATTTTTGTATTCTCAGGGCCTAGCAGAATATACAGAAAATACTCAAATATTTGTTGATGGAATAATAAATAACTATATGGTAAATTAAAAGCTTGACACTGAAAATTAACAATAGCTTTTGTGGTATAAACTATGGAATGTCTCAAGGGAAAGACTGGAAATCACAAATATGAGATAATAAAGTAAAAAATCTATTGTTTAGTCTTCAAGCAATAAATCTGAAAGTTACATGTGCAACTGGTATTTATTTGGGCATACTTATTGATTGTGAGAAATGAAAAAGGTCATTCTAAAATATACCATCACAGCGTGATTTTCAAATATGCCCATAAACTCTTTCCTTCAAAAGGTAGAGCCTATTTCCCCTTCCCTTAATTGTGGCCTATACTTAACTCACTTCCAACGAATGGAATATGCTAGAAATCAAAGTGTATGACATCCAAGATCAGAACATAAAAGCATGGTGGATTCCTCTTTGCTTTCTCTTGGGCCACTCAGAAGAAACCAACTGCCATGTTGTGAAGATACACAAACATGGAAAGACCCAAGTGGCCAATAGGCCTCCAGCCATGAGAGTAAGCCATCTTGGATTCTCCAACTCAAATCAACCCTTCAGAAGCAGATTCTCCAATTCAAATTAACCCTTCAGAAGCCTTTGGCTGCCATCTTCATTTCAATCTCCTGAGAGCACCCACATCTTTCAAAATCATACAGCTAAGTGACTTCTGAATTCCTGGCCCACAGTAACTCTGAGATAATATATGTCTGTTACTTAAAGCTATGTGTAGGCAATCTGTTACGCAGCAACAGATAACCAAGGCAGATTTTGGTATCTGGAAGTGGGGTGCTGCTGCAATAAAAACCTAAAATGTAGGACTGACTTTGGTTCGAGTATGGCAAAAGGTGGAAAAACTTGGAAAAAGCATTAGTGGAAGCTCAAAGGACCCTAGACTATTTAATAGAGATTGGATTTTGAAGAGGCTGCAAGGGACACATGTTATAGTCATGTAGAGGCAGAAAGTTTAATAACATGTATTTAATAACATCATAAAATATGTCAAATGAACTGAGTGATTAGCTAGAGGGATTTCCAAGCTAAAAAAAGAGGGCGTAGTTAAGGTAGCACCTGATTCCTCTTGCAGATTGTAATTAAAATGCAAGAGAAAGAAACAAATGTAACAAGGACTTGACAGTTTTGAAAATTCTCAGCCTCTTCAAAAATGGCTGCTGACCAAAGGTTAAATTCAGAGAACTGCCAAGAAAATATGTCAACAGAGAAAGCAGAGTTTGGCTTTAAAATCCTTTAAAACTCAGAACTCAGAAAGATGGTACTTCAGCAGTTACTGGTCACCCAAAAGGCTCTTTTCTCTTAAAAATTTTAAGGGTATGATTCACTGATCCTTTCTTTTCTTTTTTTTTTATATGACAGAGAGAGACACAGCGAGAGAGGGAACACAAGCAGGGGGAGTGGAGGAGGGAGAAGCAGGCTTCCTGCAGAGCAGGGAGCCCGATGCGGGGCTCGATCCCAGGACCCTGGGATCATGACCTAAGCCGAAGGCAGACGCTTAACCATCTGAGCCACCCAGGCGCCCCTCACTGATCCTTTCAAACAACAGAACTTCTAAGAAACTCAAGGGTGCTGTCCTCTCAGCAAAAGCTCAAGGTAGACAAAGATATTCATGCATGTGGCTTCCAGTAAGATTCACGAAAGATCCATAGGTTTTAAGAGAATTCTATGGGCAGAAACATAGCAAATTTGGACTGAAAGGAACAGAGATAGTACAAAAGAACCCCCAAATTTTGGAAGCAGACTGAAAAACTACTCAGGTGCAAACAAATGCTAACTTTTTAAAAATTAATTTTTTTAGTAATCACTACACCCAACATAAGGCTTGAACCCACACCCCAAGATCAAGAGTTGCAAGCTCTTCCAATTGAGCTGGCTAGGCACCCCACAAATGCTAACTTTTAAGAACAAGGAAAGAAGATGCAGAAGGTGGAGCCAAGAAACCATAGCATAGAACCAGGAACCATTAAGAGAATTAGTCCTACATCATGAGTCCTAATCAAAGAACTGCTACCCTATACCCAACTGGACTTAAGAACTGACATAACCAGTAACTCCTGTGTGCCTCCCATTTCCCCTTCACCACCCCCTTTTGATCAAGAATATTCCTCTGCAATCAATTTATATTGGACATGTACTTGGCACAGGATTTCTTTAAGATTTATTTATTTGAAAGAGACGAGAGAGAGAATGAGCAGGGAGAGTGGCAGAGGGAGAAGCAGATTCCCCACTGAGCAGGGAGCGACGCAGAGCTCGATCCCAGGATGCTGGGATCATGACCTGAGCCCACAGGAGATGCTTAACAGACTGAGCCACCCAGGTGCCCCTGGTACAGGATTTCATATCAAGAACTATACTTGAAGAGCTATACTAGCTATACTAAATCAGAACCATATTAAAGAAATCTCATCAGCACCAGCACCTCATACACATATATAACTAACATTCTGGACTTTGAGCTAATGCTGTAATGGAATGAGACTTTTGAAGGCCTTGGAAGGGGCAAGTGTATTTTGCATGTAAGAATAATATAAATAGGGTGCCTGGGTGGCTCAGTCAGTTAAGTGTCTGCCTTTGGCTCAGGTCATGATCCCGGAGCCCTGGGATCGAGCCCTGCATCACTCCCTGCTCAGCGGGGAGCCTGCTTCTCCCTCTCCTCCCTGTTCCTGCTCTCTATCTCTGTCTCTCTCTCTCCAATAAATAAATAAAATCTTTAAAAAAAAAGAATAATGTAAATAATTTGTGTCAGAATGCAGAATATGGCAGTTAAAAATATGACTACAAATTGTATGATTCTTCTCCCACTCAAATATAGGTTAGACTTGGTGACTCACTTTTACCAAATAGAACATGTAGGAGGTGATGGGGTGTTATGTCGAGAGAGTAGAACATTAAAAGTGTTGTGGCTTCTTCCTTGCTCTCATGGCTGGCTACTATGCCTTGAGGAACTGAAGAAACCCTCCAGAGAGACTAACATATTAAGGCCACCTGCCAAAAGCCATGTGAGTGAGTCATCTGGGAAATGGATCTTCTAGCCCTAGTTAAACTTTCAGATGATTGTAGCCCCAATCAACATTTTTTTTTAAAGATTTTATTTATTTATTTGAAAAAGAGAGAAAAAGAGCCCACAAGCAGGGGGAGTGGGAGAGGGAGAGGGAGAAGCAGACTCTCTAGTGAGCAGGGAGCCTGATGCGGGGCTCGATCCCAGGACCCTGATATCATGACCTGAGCCAGGGGCAGATGTTTATCCAACTGAGCCACCCAGGTGCCCCCCTCCCACAACCCTCAGCCAACAATTTAACTATAACTTTATAAGAGACCCTGAGCTGGAACAACCTAGATGCTTCTAAATTCCTAAACTATGGAAATAGTTGTTTTCAGCTACTAAATTTAGGGAAATTTATTATGTGTCAATACACAACAACCTTCAAAAACAAATGCACACCAGTTTCTCTTTTTCCTAGTAAAGAAGCCCTTACAACTAAAAAAGAAAATTTCAAACAAGGACCAAAAATTACATTCTCAAAGTACAAGACATTTATAAATGAACAACCACAAAAATTCTGGCCTTTTAATGACTTGTAAAATAACTGCTACCACTTGCTTCCTTACTACATACCAGATACCATGCATGCATTATTTTACTTAATATCCTCAACAATCTCATTGATTAGAGTGTAATATTATTTTATGTATAAGAAAACTGAGGTTTCAGAGGAAAAATATTAACTCAAGAGTAATAACAAAAGGCAGAACAAGGATTTAAATCCACTTCACTCTGACTCCAAAATCTGGGCTCTTTCCTTCCACTATGCTACACCAGGAGTCAATAATCTTTTTTTATAATGGGCCAGATACTAAATATTTTCATCTCTGTAAGCCATGGGTCTCTGCTGCAAAAAAACTCAGCTACTGTAGCACAAAATTTACCATAAATAATACATAAACAAATAGGCTCAGCTACGTCCCAATAAAACTTCATTTATCAAATCAAACTGCAGTACGGATCTGGTCCACTGGCTATTTTGTGATCTTATTCTATATTATCTCCCACTGCCTTGAAAGGACTCATCCAGTTTATAATAACAGAGTTGCCATACAAAAATAGAAAAAGGAATAACCACATCAGAAGTTAATATAGAAATTAAGAATTCAAATCCTGTTTCACTTAATGTAGCACTATTTATCTGGATAAGCATGGTCTCAACTTTACATGAATTTTTACTTGTGTGAACATAATAGAGATCAGAATTTTCACTTAGAAGGATCCAGAGAATTCTACTATGCTAGAATATTGCACTATCTTAAAAATAAAAAATTGGTGTGTATATGTATGTGTATGCATGCATATATGTATATACATAGCAAACAACACCTAAACCTAGACTACTCTATACAGCCAAATCAACATTCACATAAGAAGGCAAAATAAATCTGGCCACGTTAGTAAGACTCTTTTAAGTTTACTGAAAAGATAGGGGTGCCTGGGTGGCTCAGTCGTTAAGCATCTGCCTTCGGCTCAGGTCATGATCCCAATGTCCTGGGATGGAGCCCTGCATCAGGCTCCCTGCTCTGCAGGAAGTCTGCTGCTCCTTCTCCCACTCCCCCTGCTTGTGTTCCCTCTCTCACTGTGTCTCTGTCAAATAAATGAATAAAATCTTAAAAAAAAAAATTGACTGAAAAGATAAAAACCTAAGAAGCAAAAAATAACTTCTCAACCAAATAAAGGGTAACTACCAGATATTTACTACAAATAGCAAGCTTTATGGTGGACCATTAGAAACATTATGTCTAAGATAAAAAAGGCAGCAAGTATACTACATTATGTCTAAGATAAAAAAGGCAGCAAGTATACTACTGTTTCCATTAATTAGCAGTTTTAGCAACCCTCACCAATGCAATAAGGTACGAAAAAGAGAGGTATAAATACTGAAAGAAAACAAACTACCAATGTTTACAGATTAATATAACAGCTTACATAGACAATTTTTTTAAAAATCAGCTGAAAAAACTACTAAACCTAATATCAGAGTTCAATAAGGATACCAACTTGACAAAAACTGTAATATTCATTTAGAATACTGTAATGGAAAAAAAAGACATGTAGAGATAATGCTAGCAGTAAATTCACCAAAGTTATATAATTACACAAACAGAAATAGGAGATACAATGCATTCTAGTATGCAAAGATTCGATATTATTTAAGATATCCCCACCCCAAATGGTAATCTGTATCTCAAGTGCAATTTAAATTAAAAACTCCAAAAGAGGGGCGCCCTGGTGGCTCAGTTGGTTAAGCGACTGCCTTTGGCTCAGGTCATGCTCCCAGGGTCCTGGGATCAAGCGCCACATCGGGCTCCCTGCTCAGCGGAGAGCCTGCTTCTCCCTCTCCCACTCCCCCTGCTTGTATCCCTGCTCTCGCTCTCTGTCAAATAAATAAAAATCTTAAAAAAAAAAATACACCTCCAACTTTCCGACAGACAAGGTAATTCTACAGTTCAAATATAAAAGCAAGTTCATATAAAAGCAAGAAAATTCTAAAGACATAGTATTGGATTTTAAGAAGAGACAAAGAGATCATAAGAACAGAAACCTGTATACCAATGTCAATACCACAGTTTAATGTCTTTACAGGAATTTCTGATGTATGTGGGAACTGACACCATACCCACAACCCACTACACTGTATTTCACAGTTTAGTTCATGATAAAGGTGGCATTTTATTTTTTTTATTTTTAAAGATTTTAAGTAATCTCTACACCCAGAGATCGAGTCGCATGCTCCACAGACAGCCAGGCAGGTGCCCCTTTTTAAATCAGTGGGGAATATGACAACCTATCAAAAATACTGTTGAGGAGTCAGCCGTCTATCTAGGGGTAATAAGCTACGTTCTACTTCACATCATTATATAACAATTAACTCCAGATGAGGGGTGCCTGGGTGGTACAGTCAGATGAGCATCCAACTCTTGGTTTTGGCTGGGGTCATGGCCTCGGGGTCATGGGATGCAGCCCTGTGTCTGCTAGGGATTCTCACTCACCCTCTCTCTACCCTTCCCCCCACCCTCTCAAGATAAATAAATAAATCTTTAAAAAAATTAAACCCAGATGATTGTAAACATAACAGAATATTATAAGGAGGGGGGAAAATCAGAGGGGGAGACGAACCATGACAGACTATGGACTCTGAGAAACAAACTGAGTGTTCTAGAGGGGAGGAGGTGGGGGGATGGGTTAGCCTGGTGATGGGTATTAAAGAGGGCACGTACTGCATGGAGCACTGGGTGTTATATGCAAACAATGAATCATGGAACATGACATCAAAAACTAATGATGTAATGTATGGTGATTAACATAACATAAAAAAAAGAATATTGTAAGGAAACAGAAGATAAATATCTTCTAAAATAAATACATTTTAAATTCTGAAGTAAAAAAGCCTTTGTATGCAAGACTTAGAAGCCACAAAAGACTAAATAAATTTTATCTCATATAAATGAATACTTTTCCATAATAAAAGATAGCTACCATAAAGACCAAAGTAAAACAGGAAGAAAATTTCTGTAATACATAAACAAGGATTAAAGTCCTGAACATGCAGAGAACTTCTACAAACCAAGTTGAAAAATAAAATGTGAAAAAGACATGAATAGGCAATTCATACAAGAAAGCCAAAGGCCACATGAAAACATACACAGATGTTCCATTCTTAAAAATCTAGGAATTAGGGGCGCCTGGGTGGTTGAGTCAGTTAAGCGTCTGCCTTCAGCTCGGGTCATGATTCCAGGGTCCTGGGATTGAGCCCCATAATGGGCTCCCTGCTCGGCAGGGAGTCTGCTTCTCCCTCTACCCTTCTTCCTTCTTGCGCACGCTAATAAATAAAATCTTAAAAAAAATAAATAAATAAATCTAGGAATTATAGGGGCACCTGGGTGGTGCAGCCAGTTGAGTGTCTGACTCTTGATTTCAGCCTGGGTCATGATCTTGGGGTTGTGAGATCAATCCCTGAGTCAGGCTCCACACTCAGAGCAAAGTCTGCTTGGGACTTTCTCTCCCTCTGCCCCACCCCCCAGATGTACATGCACACACACTCTTTCTCTAAAAATAAATAAATCTCTAAATAATCTAGGAATTATAAATCAGATTATTTTCCCCAAAATAATGAAAATGTAAAGGATGGATAATTTTTTGTGTTAGCAATAAAGGAAACGATAAGCTCAATAAAGTAAAAGATAAGCTCAATACTGTGGCAATAAAAACTGATGAACCTTTTAATTAAGGAAGGCAATGTGACACTATTTCAAATTCTTATACTCTTTAACACAGTAATTTCCACTTCTAACAATCCAGGCTAAATAAACAAGTACAAAATGATATACAAGGACATTTACTATAGCACTGTAATGGTGAGGGAAAAAAACCCACATAGGTTCCTACATAGCCTTTAAAATGACTGATGATTGTAGTAAGTTATGTCCAGATATGGAGCAACACTATGAAAAAATAAGTTGCAGAATACTGGAGATAATATTACTCATTTATGGGGCTAGAAAAATAAAACAAATGTAAACCAAACAACCTCAAAGAACGGCCCTGATATGTGTGTGTGGAGTTTACATACACATATAACTGAAATATGTAATTGTGTACAAAGGCAATTGAACCTTTTATAGAGATAGCGATAACCTTTGAAAGAAGATTATCTATGGGTATGCAGAATAGTGAAAGGGGATTTTCACATTTGCTAGTGTATTTCTGAATTGTTTTAACTTTGTATAGAGTTAATTGTCTATTATTTGAATAATCTGAAGAAGAGGAGAAAGGCAGGAGGAGTGAACAGAAAGATAAAAGAAGCCACAGGATCACAGCTCTCAGCTTCAACTGTAATTGTTTTGTAGATTCTTACTGACATTTTCTTTCTAGTTAAAGAAGCAACAACACGTAGAGGGTCAAATGAAATCTATACAAGGGTTTCAATGTGTGATTTGAAATTTTAATAAAAATTAACAAAAGGATCCAAAGGTCTTTATCAGGAAGAAGGCTACAGAAAACCACCAACCATAACTTCAGAAGAGGAATAAGCTCAGGACTGAATAATAAAATCTGACACACTTTTTCTGCCACCTCATGTAACATTTTTGCCATGAACAACTCACAAAATATTTGGATGTATATTTATATCCTTCTACATGCCTGTATCATTTTTATTCTGAGAACCTTTCCCAAATAATTATCGAAGGAAGACTATACATTCTGGCATCATGATATAAAAATAGCACTTTAAAAACTAGCCAAATGATAAATTATTAGGCAATCTTACTAGTTTAATTCCAAACTGGCTTTTAATGTTCAAGCAATTTTCACCTTTCAGTAGGTTAATTATAAATAACTATTACAAAGAAGAATAGAATAGCGAGATATACTGACAGCCAACACTAATGTAGAGTGCCGACACGAATGATAGTTAGCAATTTACAGTACTGGGTAAACCAGATTTTAAATGTTAAACTCATGAAATTCAACTTCTTAAAAGCTAATGATCAGTTACAAATTAAATCCTTGCTTCACTTTTCAAAGTATAAACAGTATTTTTCTTTTATTGCTTAGGGAAATCCACAAAATGTCCATCATCATTTTCTAAGCATGTATAACATCTTCCCACAAGGTGCTCACTAAAAAGCTCAAAAAAAATCTACGCTACACAAAAATACAAAGACACATATACACACCATAGCAAATAATAAGAAATCTTTGAATATTATACCTGTATCAGCTTCATGTTCTTTATTCTCATCTGTAAGGGGGTTGTCATGAAGTTTCAAATAAATCTCTATAGCAATTCTTGCTGCTTTAAAGTAAAATGGATGCTGTCGAAGTACATCTTCTAGTTTTAGTAAGTCCACATACGATCTAAGGGTAATCTTCCTCATACAGTATGTATGAAAGTCAAACTGGTCGTCAGTGATTTCTATAAAATGCTAACGAAATTATTTTTTTTATTATACTGAAGTATAACAATGTCAAAGAAAACTACAGAAATCAAACTCTCAGAATTACTTGTTTTCCTATGCATGAAAAAATAAGTAAAATAAAAAGATATTAAAAATTACTATCACCCAATATAAATACTTTGCATATCAAATAAGCAAATATAATTGGTATCCCCTAGCACAGTATATGGCATACACCAAGCACTGAATTATTTGGTGAATGAAAAGGAAACACATGATTTGAAATATATGTATTTATTCCTTCCTTAAATCATACTTAAAGCTAGCATGACAAATCAAACATAACTTATTAATATACATAATGATGTAGTACATTTACACATTAAACATTCAGTTTTTATATTTAGAATGACCTGCAAAGACTAAATGTAGTATTTGGTAATTTTTCTAAGAATACAAATTTGAATCCTACACAATGTTATGCTGGCTACAGAAATACTGTATAAAGGATTCAAAGCTTGTATCTTAGGACTATCAAGGGTATACATCACCAATCAACCCCTTAACAAACAGCTTTCGAGGATAACTTAATGAGCTTTGTATTACTGAAGATGGAGCAATTCGAAACATTCAAACATCAATAAAAACACAGCCAAGCTACAAACTTTCTATCAAGTTTTTCACATGAAGAGTAGACAATCGGCAAGTCTGCTGAAAATGTAGTCTATAACATTTCCATCAAAAAATGAAAAAACATGAGCACTGATATTTAGAAATCACTTACTGTGAATTATAAAGAAGAAAAAACTATAGTTGTCCAAAACCTTCAACATATTACAATAAAATGAGAAACTCATACATATATATGGTACTTACTCTCTCAATCTCATGACATTTCTTAAGTGCTTCACCAAATTTATTCATTGCCTTATAAGCCTGGGCACATTCTGTCTGGAACCACATGCATTGCATTTCATTCAAATTCTCTACCGCTGATGTTCCTTCCTATATGAAAATATTTATGCATTCAAGACCATTTCTTACCAAATACACCATTTCACCATAGCATTTAAGAAGGAAAATATAGTCAACTGATTTGAATTTTTTCAAAATAACTTTCTTTTTAACTGTTTTCAGAGTAAGAGGGAACTGTTATTATGTGTAAGAAACTGGAATTATATTTCTAATCACTGAAAAAAATGTACCTTTGTAAATAATCAAAACATCTACATAACTGGGGTTGGAGAATAACATAAGAAAGAGAACACTAGCACACAGCAGGTAGTCAATTAACATTAGTTCCTTTCACCCCTAAAAATTCATCTGAACATACATCAATATAAATCAGAGTTAAATAACCCACTGTACAACCAACTAAAAAGAAAATTTATGTTTTATACTAATTTTGATTTCCGTTTCTTTCTCCTAAGGTAATTTAATTAAAATCCTATTTTGATACTAAAAATACTAGAAAAAAAATTGAAAAATAAGCAAGATATACAAGTATAAACTATTCATAAGAACACTAGCTGTACAAACCCTTGTAAACTTTGAGCACATTTCTTCAGCCTCTTTTATCAGATTGGCTTTTAGCATGTACTTTGCACACTTGGAATTGATAAATCTGTCTGCTGTGTCCAAGGCCTGGGCCTCATCCATCCACCTCGCAGCTTCTCTAATATTTCCAGCATGCTTATAGAAAAGCAAAATAAACCAGTCAGTATGCTAATTTTACTATGCAGGTAATTAGTTACCTATTGATAAGTAACTAAAACACAAATGAAAAAAAAAGGTATTCTTCTGACTGATCTTAAGACCCTAATCAATGTAGATGCATACATTTTGATACTTTTCTGGCCATGCAGAATACAGGCTTTCTGACAGTAAAGACTTGTTTTAATAACATTGTTTACTGTTACACCTCACTGCCTTTATCAGTGTCTGGCACATAATGAATACTCAAAAACAATGGATTTTAAGAATAAATAATTAAAATCTTTAAGTCAGAACAACAGAAAGTTCATAAAAGGCATCATGGCTGAGTATCAGGGAAATTCTGTTAACATACAACAATGCTTATTTTAAAAAATTATTCATCAACATTGAAAAAAAAAAAAGGCAAAGATATTGGCTAAATTTCTAACCTAAAGCAACCAGGGAATATTACTGCCTATTACTGGACATTCCACGATGTGTTTTAATTTACATTACTAGTCCATTTGTCAAAGCCACAAAACTAATGAGCATAACCTGGCTTTGAAAAGTGCTTTTAAAATAATACTTAATTTTATTGTTTTTGGTAAATAAATTTTAAGTTTATAACCTCTTCCTTAAGAGCTATTATTACTAATTTGTATTTGTATTAAGAAAAAGAAGAGTCAACTTTAAGATGATGCTAAAACATATGACTGGAGATTCTCAAGTAAGACCAAGAAGTTAAGAAGACAAGTAAAATAGTAAAATCTTCAGTTTCATTTCATTAAGATTACCAGATACTACTGATCATGGTCATACTCAAGTGTTAATAGAAACAAACATGTCACAGCGAATTACTTTAGAGTATCTATACTGTTACTACTTAAAACCAAGAAAATAACCAGACATGTGTGTGAATGTATAAGAATATGTAATATGAATAACCACATATCTGAATAACCATATGCATGTATGTATATCTGTGTGTATACAGACATATAAATGAGTAAATTATCATGACCATGACAAATCTAAAAGTAATCAGACTGAGAAATGTTCTATAGTTATTCCAGGTTTTAGAAGTCATCAAATATATCATTTTTATTACAGCTTTTAGAATCTACAAATTATAGAAAAAAGTTTTTATAAGACTCATTACCTTATAAAAAAGCGGGAGGGAAGATTTTTACCTTATAGATTTTAGCTTTCACAAGAAAGAGTTCTATCAATGTAGGTGTACTTTCAATAGCGGTATTTATGTATTCCAGAGCAATCGATGGCTGACCAATTTTGTCATAATGTTGTGCCAAGTAGTACTGGACCCAAAGTAATGTGGTTGGTGGTTCCTCTTTTCCATCATCTTTAAAAAGTGGGAGAGGTGGGTGGGAGAGGAAATAAACCAAGATTAATCATTACATATATTAAGAGAGTACCCACCTCCAAATGGCTTTATCTTTATTAATAAGGAAAAGTAGTTTGAACCATTTATTTATGTATCTAGCTATAAAACCATCCTTAAATTCATAAGATCTTTGGAAGGGACCATGTTGTCTGTTCTGTATCATTATAGCCCCTAACACATTACCTTGAATTTAGTAAGAACTTTATATAATAAATATGGCAGATAAATGAGATCAAAGATATAAAAAATTACCCAAAAAAAGAAACTGAAAGGAATGGGGGGGGCAGGGGTGTGGGAGACAAGTTGTGCTAGTACTATGAAAGTGTAAAGATCAGGATATTATTTATGAGGGGCGAAAAAGGTATGAGAAAAAATTTTGATTTTCCATTAATGTGAGGTTTAAAAAAAAAAAAGGCCTGACTGCTTAATTGGGTTTCTAGCTAATGTACTAAACTATACATAAATATACTTGTGATGTGGTTGAGTTTTGGGTGATTATATTAATATATTCTAACATTATGCTGATATGCAATGATGCGTAATTTAGACTGAATAAAAACTATACCCAAAAATGAGATAAGTAAAAATGCTTACTCTACATTTTAGTTCATAATTTAATTTTTATATACTCACAAGAAAATGTGTAAGTTAAATATAAAACCCACACATTATAAAATACTTTTTAAATACCAATATCTAAAACCTAAGAACTGTTATTTGCTTTCAAAGAAAGCAACAGATTGCTTATTTTTATCCTAGTAAAAGCAGGATGGCTCAGTGGACAAACAATAGGAGTGGAACTCACCAACTCCCGATCTGATAGATCTGCAACTAAAGTGCTGCATATTCTTGGGCATGTCATTGAACCTCTTCCACATTTGTAAAATATGTAGGAAAATGCTGATAATCAAAGGAACATCATGATGATTAACCAATGAAACCATGGTAACGCCTTCTAAAAGTATTATTAAAATTAATCTGAGACCTAGAAACAATAACCCAAAAGCAATGAGCACCCCAGGTCCCATACTGGGGTTTCCCACTGTAAGAACCAGGGCTCCTTTGGAAAAACAATTGATTCCAGGTCTGCTATGGGCAGTATACCAGATGAGCTGGAATATCTATCTTGTCATACCAAACTGCAAAAAAGCTATCAACTACTACACCATGGTATGTGAAGGCTAGAGCCATGTGAAACTGCAATGATTTAAAACATCAAGTATGTTTAAACCCATGAATTCATAATACCTTTAAAATATGCACTGGCATCTTTGAAGGATGCTACTAAATGAATTCATTATTTTAAAAACTGGTAAAGAACAACAACAACAACAAAAAGTAGGAGATAGAGGGAAAAGAAGCAGCATTTATCTTGCTTTTCCTATATAAAAACCAAAATACTGGATAAACAGGTAACAGAAGGGAAATTTCTCTTGTAAGATAACAGAAGATGAATGATAGACTATCACCCGTTTGTAATTCCTGACAGTTGCTAACATACAAAACAAACACTAAATGCCTCCTGATGGAATAATATACTACCACCCTCCACCCATGAAATAACCTTGTTCACTCCCTATATTTAAAAGGAAACAAACAAAAAAAAGTGAATCTCATTAATCCTCTACTCAGACCTGTCCATTAGAAGCTTCTGCAAGGATGGAAATGTTCTGTATTTGCCCTGGGAAATATGGTAGTAGCAACTGGCTTTACACAGTTACTAAGCAGCACCTGAAATGTGGCTCCTGCAACTGAGGAACTGAATTTTTAATTTTATTTAATTTAAAAAATTTTAATAGTCACACGTGGCTAATAGCTATTATACTATTCACCATAGCTCTACATCCAACTACCAATTTATAACAAATTCAGAGGACAAAGGAATAACATGTTAAGCAACACCATGAGAGTCCATTCAGCAAAATCTAGACTGTCGAAAAACTTAAGAAAAAAAACTAATTTTTTAAACAAACTGCAGGAAAAAGAGCAAATAGAAAACCTATAGATTTTTTTATAAGAGAGTTGAGACATATCAAACTCGAAGTACAGATTTCATATGGATCCTCATTCAAACAACTTCAAAGCCAAAGAAGAAAAAAATGACATTTCTAAGATAACTGGAAATGTAAGCATAGACTTTTGTCTTTGATCTTAACAAAGTATTAATGTTCAGGTGTGGTGATGATACTTTGGTTATGATCGTTAGAATACTGAAATAGTCACAGATAAAATGATGTGATGTTTGGGATTTGCTTCAGAATAACATGCGAAAAGAGGGAAGTAGGTAAGAATATAGATGAAATAGGTTTTCCCATGAGTTAAAAACTACTGAAACTGGATGACGGGTAAATGATGGAGGATCATTGTATGATTAGATCTAGTTTTGTAAATGTTTTAAATTTTACATTTTTTTCCAGCAAGATAATATGATTCTCTTAACCAAATATTTTCACACTATGTGCAAATTAATGCATCTCCATCTTAAAAAGAAAAAAGTTTAAATATACTAAGCTTACTGTCTAAATAATGAATAATACTGACCTTCTGATTAAGAATTTCATAATATATTAAAAATTCCAGGATATTTTTAAAACATAAAACTTGAGCACTTACCATTAGGGTTAAATAATCGGCAGCTTTTTAAAGAGGTTTCATAACCTACTACTAATTCTTCTATGATTGCCACCTAGAGTACAAACACACAAGCACACTTTAATAAAATATATATACATGCAGTTACCATTCTTGTACAAAACGTGTTATTTACTATTTTAAAGGGCTACATCAACATTCCAAAACATGCACACGCACACATACACTCATGTACACACCCTCTTATAAAACCTCTTAACCTATGGATAAAAACTTAAAAGCACGTAAACCATACATTTTTGAAGGTATTAAGATATAACTTTCGGGGTGCCTGGGTGGCTCAGTTGGTTAAGTGCCCGACTCCTGATTTTGGTTCAGGTCATGATCTCAGGGTCCTGGGACTGAGCCCCACATCGGGCTCTGCGCTCAGCGGCAAGTCTGCTTGTCCCTCTCCCTCTGCCCCTCCCCCTGCTCGTGCCCTCCCTCCCTCTCTTTCTCTCAAATCAATAAATTCTTTAAAAAAAAAAAAAAAAAAAAGATGTAACTTTCTAAAAACTTACTGGTCCCCTTCCCTGCTAGAAAGGAGGGAATATGCATCAAGCTGAGCTAGAAATCAGGAAAAGGTTGGATTAAAAGAGGTAATACTGTAGGTAATATTGTGGATGACTCTTATCTTGGTTCATTTTTATCTCAATTCACATAAATAACACCCACAATTAACATCTGCCCTTTAGGAATCAAGAATTAAAAACTACGTGAAAAGAGAAATTCCAAAAGTACATAATAGCATCAACTCTCAATTTTAGAATCCAAGGGAAAACATTAGTAAAACTGAAACAGAAAAGTGGGTGGGTTTCTGAAATCCAGGATAGTGAGTGGATGTCCAGGTTCTGGTTTCTCCTGAGTCATGACTATACCACTTGCTCCTGGCTTTGTAAGAGATCTGTGAATACTTTTAATTTATTAATTCCCTTCTTCACTTAATCCATCTATAATGGATTTGTTACTATAGAAGCTCTCCTAAATGACCTCAACTTCACCAACTCAACAGATTAACACCAGCTCTCTCCATTACCTCAGAAAATTGTGAGGACTGAATGGTCACAGCTAGGTTATTCTGGTGCGCCCATGTTCTTCTGCTCCCACAAGTTGAGCTACATGCTTACTAAGAGTTTTGTTTTCCCAAACCTGTTTAAATCAGTTGCATTTATTATCATTACAGAATTTAATTCAATATTATGCAAACTTAATAAATGAGAACAAAAGAAAAAACTGTTTTAAGTTGAATACCGTGGAAAGACTCAAGGATAAATTAGATACTCCTAACAAATTCAGGTTTCAATAATACAACCATAAAGGGGAAAATCATTAATATATAGGCTTCTATAATCAAGACGCTATAATCAAGCGTTCCCACGCTATTGATACTGAAAACAACAGACCACATTTTATGAATGTGATTTATGCAATTTAAAAAAAGAGTCAAAGTTATCAATAAAGCCTATACCTTGGGCCTCTCAACAAAAGACTGGAAAATAAACACACCTTCTGTGCTTTAGGTTAAAGTGTTTAGCATGTTTAATTAGTCCCATCTTTCTGATTCTTTACTGTAATTGATTTATTTTTATCCAACCAACATGCCTTGATGTCACTGTACTTGCAAGCAAAATAATCTAAATTAAGATTAAAACAACCTCTTAATAAGTAATTTGAGCATTATTATACACAGCTAAAAGAGTAAGTTAACTTACTAGGACAGCAAACAAACTGCTGATAGAATTTTTTTTCTACCAAATAAGAAAGAAGAAAGATTACTAAGCTAAGCCTTAGTTTAAAAAATCACTTCTGACTTTCACCATGAACAAAGATTAGAGAAAATACTGAAGAAATCACTACCTTACCAACTTTTCATACCTACACTGACTCAAAGTAAATAGCAGAAATAAAAGAGAAAATAAGGAAATAATAAGTTACTTGATTAAAAAGAGAAAAGGATGAAAAGTAAGAGGTACAGAAGCATTTAAACCGTGAGACAGGAAAACAGCAGATTCACAAAATGTGTACTATGTACATAGATAATCAAGAATCAACGATTCCAAATACTAAGCGGAGAAATGATAGTGGGGAAAAAGTGGTATTTGGCTTTACCTTTTCTTTATCTTTGTATAATGACCTCAAAGTATTGAAGACTGGTGGACAACCCTTGCTGAAATTCATCCTTAGAAACTTATCCAAACATTCTTTAAACTTCTCACCTTGGAAGAAAAAAATTCTGTTGATTTGCATCTACCCAGACAACTCTAAAATGCATACTTTAATATTAATATGCATACTCATATATCTAAAACCAACAAAACAAACTGTAAACCCTACATCATTTTCATTCCTTTGCAATTACTCTCACCAGATAAAAAGTTCAATGGCAGTCTTCTTGGCACCAGTCCCCTGGGATATTTAGTCCAGGCCTCCTCATAAATTTTTAGTCGTTCTAACATATTAGCTGCAAACAAAAAAAATAATTCTTTTTATATATAATTAATACTTCTATGTGTTTTCTAGCAAATTATAAATTTTTCCAAGTATATATAAATTCTTATTAAGCAGAAAAGCTGAAAGTGAAAAGAAAATTTATAATCTAACCACCTAAATATACCAACAATCATTTTAGAATATTTTTCTAATATTTTCCTATTTTAAATACCTATTATCATCTAAAATACATAATTTTCTTTATCCTTTCTGCTTTAGGTACCTTTCAGAATGTAAGGACTCCATTTAGTTCTAAGAAAGGCTTGGTTATTATGTTTCCTTTGCTTCTCTACTATTCTCTTCAGCCTATCCTTTATTTTAGAGCTTTTGGATCTATCCCCTAATCTTCCATTTCTCCGTATTTCTTTTATATTTTCTTTTAATCTCAGTTGAGAGCTCTCCTCAGTTCAATCTTCCAGTTCACTAACTTCTCCTCAGTTGTGGACCCTCTTCCATTCAATCTATTAAGATTTTTATGTCAATAAATAGGCTTTTCGGGGTGCCTGGGTGGCTAGGATGGTTAAGTGTCTGCCTTCACCTCGGGTCATGGTCCCAGGGTCCTGGGATCAAGCCCCACATGGGGCCCCTAGCTCAGCTGGGAGCCTGTTTCTCCCTCTCCCTCTGCCTCTGCCTCTCCCCCTACTGATGCTCTATCTCTTTGTCTCAAACTAATAAATAAAATCTTAAAAAAAAAAAAAATAAGTAGGCTTTTCATTTCCTAGATTCCTAATTGGTACTTTCTCATAACTTTTCATATTTCATGACTGCAATTTCTTTTTTTCATCTTAGATTCCTCCATTTACTCCCTTTTGCTGTACTAATGATTACCATTCCTGTGACAGCGTTCCACAGTAGCAAAATATTCTTTGTTACAAGGTTTCTCTTGTATATATCAACGTATCAGTAATGGCTCACTACCAGTCTTGAGGGAGACAGCCTCAAATCAGATCATCTTGGCTAAGGACCCTATCTGTAGATGACATGTTTCTGGGTCTGTCCTCACAAGTGGGTCCCATTCATGGGAGAGGGTAAAGGGGAGTTGTGGGCAGAGTCTCTGGACCCAAGTTCATTTGGCTGATGGAAATTTAGTCCCTCTTCCCACATAGGAAACAGTACTGTTCTTTCAGCTTGGCTACATTCATGTGCCCTTGGCAGGCCATGCTGCTGTGGCCACAGAAGTTAAGCTTGCTTTTTTCCTTTAGGGAGACATCTCTGTAAGTAAGGAGACATTTCTGTCAGTAGGAATTTCCCTTTCCATTTTTTATGCTGCCATGCCATTTGTGAATTTTTAAGTTGTTTCTGAAATTCTTCTCTCAACTATTTCTATAAATGTGTAGAAGAGAGGTTTCAGAAAATGCTCAATCTGCCATATTAAATGGAAGTTTGCAACTGTACTTTTGTATTCAGATTTTGAAACCAATTCTTAACCACTGTTTTTCTAGTTATGCTTTTCAATGAGTTAATAAAATATTTATCAACAAAGGGAGCAATTAAAAACTTAAAAAATTTTAAACAATACTACCTGGTTTGAGTGCCTTTTCCAGGCCTTTGTAATAGGCCCAATTTTCAGGATTTCTCTCTTGTAATCCTCTATAAACATCAGCTGCATCTTCCAAACGACCTAACTGCAACAGAAGTTCCCCTGATGAAAAACAAATTTAATTAACTAAATATCTTCTGATTATCTCTTTAAAACTTTTCCTTAAACTTCCTCTTAAAACCTCTTCAATGTTGGGAAGTGGTTTGGTATCCTCCTGAATTCCCAATACCCTTCACCAAGACTACCATGTCACTTTTTTTTTTTTTGAAGTTCTTATGTAGAAATGCCATCCTCTCCACATCCTCAATTATTCAGGTACTGTCTAACTCCAGGCTATTCCCCAAATTCACTAAACACAGTCACCAAGCCACCATCTACTGCTTAATTATGCCTGACATAACACAGATAATTTTACGTCTGAATTATTGACCCAATTCAACACTCTAACTTTATGATCTCCAAATCAATTATAAAAGGATTCAGCTATAGCACCCCACAGTCATGGCCACATTCAAACCTGCTTTTTCTAGCTCTTCCAACTACTAAATAGGGCACCTATCTTGCTTTAAGCTTAACTGTCTTGTTTAGCTTATTCTTGTCTCATTAATCCTAGCCTTCAATCTTAGAGAAAAACCATTCCCTTTTCTTCAGACCCTTCAGTAACTCATAGACTCATTGCTGGTCTTCTCTGGGCTGCACAGCCAATCTCATCCCTAAATGACATTAACAACCCCAAATATCAAAATCAGTCTCAAAACCTAAGGCTCCCTTATTTACCAATTTTAAGGCCTGGATCAACCCCAAATGTTTGCTTGTTACACACCTTCTCACAAAAGGAAGCAGGTCATTAGATGAACGGACAGAGATACCAGTTTCACTAGAAATCTATGAGCTCCAAAATCAAATGAGCCTCAAACACTGCTCAGGTACACTTTTCCTTACCCTTAACAGGCTTCCATCCACCAGAGGTATTATTTTCAAACCATGCATGACTTCATCCCTGCACCCTCTGCTCTCATCAGACAATAAAAATGAACACTTACCGAGTGTTCACTGTTTGCCAGTGGCTTTTAAATGTTTCACCTGCATTAAGTAATTCAACTCTCAAAACTCTATTATTTTCATCATTTTAAAGCAGAGAGAACTTAAGTAAACTTGCTGAGGGACTTTCAGATAGTTAATTGTTGGAATCAGGATTTGAATCCAAGTAATTTGGCTAAAAAAGCCCATATTCTCCACATCTATTTCAGTGGCTCTCAGCCAAAGGCACTTTTGCCAATATCAGGAGCCATTTTTTGGTTATCACAGTAAGTGATGGGCTAGTACTACTGGTATTCTGATAGGAAGACGCTAGGGTATGCTGTTAAGTATTCTACAACATACAGGAAACTTCCATCCACAACATCTCAGTCCCAAAACAGTGCCAAGGTTGACAAACCTGCTCTATACTAATCAAAAGCCTACTTCACTGAGAACAAAAAATCCTGCAACTTTTCTCCCCTACATTACATCCATCCAACATTTCCTTTCCTTAATTCTCTCCCACCTCGTCTTTGTAGAAGGAACTGGTGGTGTAAGAATTAACAATGAAACTTTCTGCTTAACTGTGCCCACTCACCCGCTCCAGAAGTTTGCAAATTATTCAGACCACTAACAATGCCTTTATTACTGGAATTTCCAAAGATTAATGTTCTACTCTCGGTTCCTTTCTATTCTCTTTATATATCCCGTCCCCATCACCTGACTCACTCTAAGTACCAATACTTTCTGGAATGAACTGATGGCTGTTTCCTATTTCACTGAGAAAATGGAAGCAATTAGAAGAGAACTCCCAAATATCCACCACATCTATATATCTACTTGCCTATATATTCTACCCTCCCTTGCTACCATGAACTATTCATACTGTTATCTAAAGCTAATCTTTCAACTTATCCACTAGATCACATCTTCTCTGTTGTATTAAATATTCTGTCTCTACTGGATCATTCTCCAGTGAGTATAAGCACATACTGTAAAAAACCTTTTGATTCTGTATTCCATTTCATCTAGCACCACCCCACTTATCTGTTGCCCTAGACAACAAACGTCCTTTTGAGTCATCCATGCATGCTATCTTTAATTCCTTGACTTCCAATGTCATTTAATTCTAGTTGATTTGTTTGAGCTTTTACCACCCTCCTTCCAAATTTTCAGAAAATGCTTTTGTTAAGATCACCAATGACTTCCAAATTCCTAAAATCCACTGATCAATTCTGAATCCTCACCTAACTTGATCTGTCATTCTTTCTCACTAATACAGTTATCAAAAGGATTAAATGAAATAATGTACTTAAGAGTATTTTGAAAACTATCATGTATTTTGATAAAGAAACCAAGGTCCAAGCCTTGTGACTGGTCATACAGCTAGTTATAGTAGCCAATGAAGGAACCCGAACTAGTTTTTCCCAATCTTGTGATCTTTCTATAAAGTAAGAAATCCCCTCCCTTTATAACTAATAGATTGTTAAGGGATGATCAACTCAAATGAAAGACGGCTGTTCTGGATCTATAGTTCACAAGTGAGCTCCAGCAGAGGTAGAGACTTCCATTTTTTTCTTGCCAGTAGCATTATCCTCTGCTGAAAGCTCATCTGGCAAATAATGGTTATATCCACTATGCAAGCTCAAGTATCGCACTTTTTTAGTGTTCAACTTCAACAAGAGCCAAAGGAATCTGAAACCAGCAAACGTCAGTTCCCTGGACTAAGCCAGGTAAAGAGACATTTCAGATGGTAATTCTTAGAAAAATACTTCTATTTTCAGTTACTTTGTTATTCTTCTTTCATTTTCTATGATCAGTTCCTCAACTTTTAAAACTGAGACTCCTTTTTCTCGGCCTTTTTTTTTTTAAAGATTTATTTATTTGACAGAGAGAGACACAGAGAGAGGGGGAACACAAGCAGGGGGAGTGGGAGAGGGAGAAGCAGGCTTCCCGTAGAGCGGAGAGCCCGATGCGGGGCTCGATCCCAGGACCCTGGGATCATGACCTGAGCCGAAGGCAGACGCTTAACCGACTGAGCCACCCAGGCACCCCTTTCTCGGCCTTCTAATAAATGGCAGCACTGGAGATCTTTAGGAATCTACCCCTCTTATCACAATCCACACACATAAAGCCAAATCTCTGGTTTCAATTCATATTCTTTCTATGTCCAGAAAGACATCCAGATAAACTAGAAAGACCTCATAATTGCCCCATATATACTTCAGTACAGACTATCAGTAAATATTACTGTCAATAACACATTCAGTTTTGTTAATAAGCTGTTCCTAAGAAATTTATTCCTGTCTTGTAAAATTAAGCAATTACCTCCTGTGTTTTGATCAAACCCTATTAATATCTTCAAGCCAAAAACATTTTATTTAAAGAAAAATATCTTGAGTCACTTCATTTAATGGTTTTATATTTTGCAATTATTCTTTCTTATATTAATATCCATTGTTGAAATGTGTATTTTCTGACATTACAAATTATTCACAGTGTGTATGAGCAAGAAACAGATTTTCTATCACCAAAATGCTGAATTATATGCAATTATCAGCAGCAACTAGATTTTTTAGTCTTGCTCTTTGTCATAACTAAATACTAGAATAAATGACATCCTTTTAAAAAAAACACACCTTTGGGGCACCTGGGCGGCTCAGTCAGTTATGTGTCCAACTCTTGGTTTGGCTCAGGTCATGATCCCAGGGTCCTGGCATAGAGCCCCACGTCAGGCTCCCTGCTCAGCGGGAAGTAAGCTTCTCCCTCTGCCCCTCCCCCACACTTGTGCATGCGCAGGCTCTCTCTCAAATAAATAAATAAAATCTTTAAAATATATAAATAGAGGGCGCCTGGGTGGCTCAGCTGGTTAAGCGACTGCCTTCGGCTCAGGTCATGATCCTGGAGTCCTGGGATCAAGTCCCGTATCGGGCTCCCTGCTCGGCGGGGAGTCTGCTTCTCCCTCTGACCCTCCTCCCTCTCATGCTGTCTCTCATTCTCTCTGTCTCAAATAAAAAAATAAATAAAATCTTTAAAAAAAAAAAAAAATAAAAATAAAATAAAATAAAATAAATAGATAAATAAAATTTTTTTTAAATACCTTTGGTTTCTTCTACAGCAAGTTTATCACAAATCTGCTTTTCATAGGTACAAAGATGTTCCAGGGCTTCTCTATAGAGACCTGCTTCCCGAAGAACTTGGTTCTGATATAAAAGGAGTTCACTATATTCATAATCCACTTTATCAGGGGATGTCTATATATGGATATAAAGAATACTAACAGTAAGAATTTTGTTTTCGTATTAGAAAACTGTTTATACACTCAAAATAGATAAAAGAAGTCAAAGGATAATAACTGATAAAATTCATTTTCTAAAAATTCTTAAATATCTGTCTAGAGAGCAACTAAGTAAAAAAATGACAATATTAACTTATAACTCACTGAATAAAGTAAGAATCCCTAAGTCCTTAATAAGTAAGTAGGGGAGAAAGGAAAGCTCTTACTTAACAGTAGAATGTAAAATAATAAATCTAGAAAAAATTAGAGAGTTAGAGAATCACCACTTTGCAACTATCATAGAACAGTTGATTCAGGCAAGAACCACAATCGATGAATGTTAAAATTAGTGGTAAGTTTGATGAAGAACAGGCAAGAAAATCTCAAACTGTTTACTAAATACAAAGAGGAAAAAAATAACAATTTTTAAATAAAGAAACCTGACAGACACCACCTTAACCAATTAATTAAATGGAACAAACAGACCTTACACTTCTCAAAGTGATGAACTGAGAAGGGCTAAACATAACTCCTGTAGTTTCCTGCCAAAAATTCTTAACTATATCTAATAATGAAGAAACAGCAAAGAAATAAAAATTGATGGACATTCTACAAAGCACTTGCTGTACTCTTCAAAAATTTCAATGTCATGAAATACAAAGAAAGTCTTCAAAACTTCCAGATTAAATCAGACTGGAAAGAATTGATAACTAAATATAAAGTATGCTTCTAGTAATGGGGGGAAAATCTTAGAAAGGATATAAATAGGACAATTAATACATTTTGAATATGGGCCATGGATTAGATATTAACAGTCTATCAATGTTAAATTTCCTAATTTTTGATAATCTACATGGTACTGTGTATAGAGTTAATAACTATAGAGTTATTCTTAGGAAGTATCACACTGACAGATTTAGGAGTAGAAGATCATGGTCTCTGCATTACTCTCAAATGTTTCAGGAAAAAAATTTAAAAAGATAAGTAGATAATAGAAATTGTAAAGTAAATGTGTCAAGTATTAATAATCAGTTAATGTGACTGAACTCCTACCTGGAGTTCTTTGTACTATTCTTGCAACTTTTCTTGAAGTTTGAAACTATTTCAAAATAAAAAGTTTGCAAGTCTATATACACTTCTTTTTTATCATTATACTTAGAATTAGACCCAGTTTACTAGGTCTGGCTTCTGGCTGTTACCTGTTGTGTTTTCCTAAATTCTTCTAAAATCTTTGCTGCCATTTCATAATCTTCTAATAAGTGGTAAGCAATAGCATAACCAATCCATGATGCTCTCTGTGCAGGGCGAAGCTGAAGTAATTGATACCTCGTTTCCTTTAAAGGGGAAAAAAACCACATTTTTTCCTTAGGTTTACAGTGAAAGCAAATGCTCCTAAAAAGATCATATTAATTTACCCAACAATGCTGAGCAATTTGCAACACAATCCTGGGAATAATAACAGAAAACAGCTTCAGACATCCATATTGTGTAGCTCCATAAGAGCAAAATAATATTTGGTAAGAAGTACAATGAAGCCTCCAAGATAATCTTGTAACTGTTTTAAAACTTAAGACCAGACCGCTTTATTACTTCCTGAACTACTTAAAAAAGAGAGAGACAGGATGGAAAGGAGTACAGCAGAAAAACCTTTTTAAAAATACAGGGCCCAACTACTGCGTTAAGATCTATAGAAAACAACTGAGCAGGTACTACACATGGCTATACAGATCTAAATTAATAGACTGATTTAAGGGTTAAAATACAGGCACAAAGAATAGTCTCAATGGAGGTAAAAAGAAGAAACAAATAGGCTTTCCAGAAAAATGTGAGAACTAAAGGTTGTATTTACATGTTACTAGCAGACAAAGGCATTGCCTATTTGAGGACCGTCAATGTTAATATTGACTGAATTAACTCCATTCTACACAGTAATCCAATTCTGCCTCAGAGTAAAATAATTTATTTTAAAAATCTGATTAGTCCAGTCATAATATACACAATCACTACTAGGAGGAGATGAGTAAGATTCAATTAAATTCTGTTTAAGAACGGAAAATTTTGTTTTCAGTAAGTACTCAAAAAAGTTTTAAATATTTTAATACTACTTTCCCCTTAGAATTAAAAAATTGGCTATTTTACTTACCCTGTAACCCTCAAGATCTCTCATTTGAATCTGCAGTAAAGAAAGGTCCCTTAAGATTTGAAGATTGTCTTTATCCCATTTTAACGCATTCCTATAACACTTAATGGCTTCATCATATTTCTTGTCTGACCTCTGGAGAAGGCCATAAACATGCCAACCTAAAGGATTTAGTTAAGGACACAACCTACAAGTCAAGAAATAATATTCCAATAATATTCTTCAAGAAACTCAGAAAACTACAGCTATTTATAAAAGTATAAGCTTTAAAAAAAAGAGAGAGAATATAAAGATAGAAGTTTAACACACTGGAAAACAACACAGCTTTTTGAGCCAAAGAAAATATGTCTCACCTGTCTTATTAGCTGTGACCTTGGTAAGTTAGTCTTGTTATGTTTCCTCAATTATAAAATGTAAATAGAAAGTCTATACAGCATAGTTTCATAACTAAATGGAAAAGACTCATACAAAATAAATGCTCAATAAATGTTATGAATTATCTATTGAGAGTAAGTGTGCATGCGCACATGAGTGCAGGGTGGGGAGGGCGTGCAGTACGCGGAGGGAGAGGGAAAATCCCAAGCAGGCTCTGCATCACTGGTCTGGATCTCAGGACCCTGAGATGCATAAACGACTGAGCCACCCAGGTGCCCCTGGAATTATCTTTACTTTTAAAAGAAAAAAGAGGGAATGGGTATACACATGACAATTATTTTACATCATGTACTTTTCTTTAGCTAACAAGATCCTTAGTATAGATCGCTTAGTGCAGTACAAAGTTCCTAAAAGTCAACATAGAAGATAAAAACCACATATAAGATAAAAATTCATTTAGCAAATAATTATTAAAATATCTTATTAATCAGGGTGTAGGTGACCAAAATGGACTATTTCCTGCATTCAAAAAATTTGTAGTAAGGGCACAGATAAGTAAACTGCAGTTGGTTGTAAAAAAATGCTACTATAAAGGGGGGAAATATGTAAATAATCCCACTCCCTTAATACAGGTCCTTTTCACTTTAGATCTTGATTACTGCACAGTCACCCATCCTCCCACCTTCAGTCTCTCTGCTTTTATGCTCTCCAGAGTAATCTTTCTTAAAAACAAACAAAAAACCCCACAAAATCAAAAGAAAATAATTCACTTCCCTTTCAGAAACTTGTAGTGTTTCTCAGATCAAACTTTTCAATCTACCAATTTTTATACCAGGGATCCTCAACAGAGTCAGTTAAATACATAATGTCCAGGATGGCACATGTAACTGAAAATACATATTTAATACCATAAATTTTATTTGAAAAATCCTTGCTTTCATACTATAAATGACAAAGTAAAGCTTAACACAATCTTCTCATTTGGCTGGTACATGTTTTTAAAAGCCTAAGACACACTACCCTTCATAATCTGGCCCCCATTACCTTTATTTCAGGACGTCATCACTTCTTGAGCACTGCAACTATCTTTTAACTGCCTCTAAACTTCACCTCCTAAAAATCTACACTTTAGGAGGGGTTTAACACTGCTAAAAATTTAAAGAAACGTATGTCCATCAAGAGGAACACAAATAAATTTAAGTAAATACATACAGAACACTGCCCAATCATTAAAAATGATGAAAAAGGATCTACAACAGTCTTACTAATTAGTCCTTTTTACCCTAGAGTTTCTGCTTACTCCCAACTCATTTCTGCTTTACTGGATTAGTGATAATTTTTGAACAAGCTGTAATGCTTTATGTAATACTCAAACATGTTTCTGTATATGCTTCCAGTAAGTACCTTCCTTCACCAGACTGTAAATTCCTCAACAGCAAAATCCCTAACTTTTCTTCATCTGTAGTATGCCAGAAGTCTGGTAAACACCTCAAATTCTAAGTGTCTCAGCACTAAAAACTGTATCAGCTCACAAAATAGGTAAAGAAATGTTGTTAAAAAACTGTTTAAAAAAGAGCAACCCACAATTTTTTCTCTATCTTCCTTCAGACATTTGTACTTGCTCCTAACTTCACACTTCTGTTAAAATTTATCTGGTATAGTACCTTGGCATTATCAGAAACTATGTTAAACATCTAATATATTTCATCATTAAATCCTCAAGACACCACAATGAGATGGATATGGTTCTCCTCATTTTATATACTAGGAAACTAAGTCCTAAGATCACAAAAAGAAGATAAGGTGAAATTCAAACCTAAGGGAAGCATACTCCAAAGCCTGTGTCCTTCATCAGTATACTATTTGTCTACTATTCCTACTGTATATTTTTTTCTAAATTTGTAATGATGATAAAATTTGCAGCGTGCTTCTTTATTTGTAATTGTGGAAGAGCTTTCATAAATATAGAACCCCCCTATCTGTGGGGGTTTCAAGACTCCCAAAAACTGCCTGAAACAACCAAGAGTACTGAAACCTATATATAACTATGTTTTTTCCTATACACACATACCTATGATAAGGTTTAATTTACAAATTAGGCATGGTAAGAGATTAACAACAATAACAAAATAGAATTATAATAATACACTGTAATAAAAGTTACGTGAACATGGTCTCTCTTTCTCTTAAATATTTTATTATACTGTACTCACCCTTTTCCTTGTGATGTGAGATGATAAAATGCCTACGTGATGAGATGAAGTGAGGTGAAAGACGCAGGCACTGTGACGTAGTGTAATACCACTACTGACCTGACAATGTGTCAGAAGAATCATGTGCTTCCAAACCTCAGTTGACCTCGGGTAACTGAAACTGCAGAAAGTGAAACTGCGGATAAGGTGGGACTATGGTATTTTAAAAGGCAAGTCCAATTTATCTGAACAGAAGTAATGTTAGAACAGGGTAGGTACATAAAAATGTTCATGAAGACAGCTGTTAATTCAATTTAAAACTTTGGAATTACACAGCAAGAGGAATCTAAGACTTCTGACTCCCAAATTGCTGTCTTAGCTTAAGACACCCCAGTCCAATCCTTAAACATATCTCAAAAAGGATACACACATGACTCTTCAAGTCATTTCTCAAACCTCTACGAACCAATTCATAAGCTTCTTCCTTTTTCCCCAAACAGTTCAATGTTAATCCTTTCATAGCCAGGGTTTCTGTTTTTTAAAAAAAGAGAGAGAAAGAAAAGGAAGAAAAAAGTAATTAAACATTAAAAATAATCAACAAAGAAGTAATCATAATCTCAAAAACAAATGTTACATTATTCTAAGAACTTAAACTTTCAAGAAGATTATTTGGAAAACATTCAGACTTCTACAGAATTAAAATATTTTAAAATTTGACAAACCAAGGAAACACACATTTCTATAGTCTAGGCATCCCCAGAATTTTTTTTTTTTTAAATAAAAAGATACAAAGATGCATAATTATCTGGTAATTCATGTGCTAACAAGATACAACGACTCTATTACTGTTCTTCAAGGGAATTCCATGGAGTCACCTCATATAATCAAGCACTCCTTTAAAGTACGGAAAACTTTACCTTAAAACAGACTTTATTTCTGTGAACTCAAGTTACATTAAGATTAAGTCCACTGTTCAATGGTTAAACCATCCACATAAATTTTCTAACATTTCTGATTTTCATAAATTTTTAAATGATTCTTTGGGATTACTACAAAACACACAACAGGGAAAACGTCAGGCACCTGTTATTTACAATCAATAAGATTAAGAGAGTTCAGAGAAATACTAAGTTCTCAGAGAAGGAAAAGAAAAAAGATTTCTAATTTTATAACATGCATGTTACGAAGCATAAAAAGATTTTATTTATTTATTTGACAGAAACACAGTGAGAGAGGGAACACAAGCAGGGGGAGTGGGAGAGGGAGAAGCAGGCTTCCCACGGAACAGGGAGCCCGATGCAGGGCTCGATCCCAGGACCCCGGGATCATGACCTGAGCCGAAGGCAGACGCTTAACGACTGAGCCACCCAGGCGCCCTGTCTATTTATACAAGTTTTACCAAACATCTTAAAGTACCTTAATTAACGAAACTCTGTACTACCAGTGAGTCTAAGACAAACCATCATTTTATGTACTGTTAAAATACTTTCAATTAAATTATGGCACTTCATATAACACACCATCCACCTAACAAAAAATATATATATATTTTAAAGATTTTATTTATTTATTTGAGAGAGAGAGAATGAGAGACAGCATGAGAGGGAGGAGGGTCAGAGGGAGAAGCAGACTCCCTGCCGAACAGGGAGCCCGATGCGGGACTCGATCCTGGGACTCCAGGATCATGACCTGAGCCGAAGGCAGTCGCTTAACCAGCTGAGCCACCCAGGCGCCCCCCAAAATATTTTTTAACAAGGAAAAAAAAGAGATAAATTTAGGTGGTTTCATTCCCCCTGCTTTCCACCTCCAATCTTATTATAGTAAAAATACACAGGAGTAAAGAGAGCCGATAGAGAACTATTACTCTCTCCTTTTTCTTCGATACTAAGAGATTATCAAATTAATTACTGAAGAGCCATGTTTCCTAACTGTACAAATCAGACTTGCGAAAGCTTAGTTTTCCCATGCATCTTCACAAGTTTAGCTACACACTCTCCTCTTACCCTACTAACATCTCACTGTCCAATCTTCTACCCTCCCATAGGCAAAACCTATGTAAATTTTCAGAACGTCACAATATACAAATCATGTCTTAAACATGACGGTCTTGAAAAACTAAGATACAATGCTGAATAAAAAGATGCTAGCTCATAAGCTAAGGACCAAATGGACACTTTCTAAATAAGCTTAATGTAAGAAATCAAATTTTTCCAGCTCAACAAAAGTTCTAAAGCAAATTTCTCTAATATCTTAAATGAGCTTATTTATTAAATCTAAACATATCTGTCCTTACTAATTTCCTCTGCCTTTCCTACAGCATTAATCTTCAAAGCAGGAATAAACCAGAAATCAAGTAGAACGTGTTATAGTTTTCTTAACATTAAATTCAAATGACAGTATTAAAACATCTTCACACAAGAGTCAAAGAAGGTCCATTCTCTCTGAAAAATAGTTAGGGCAGCTGAGAGTAACAGAATCCAAATAAGTGAAGTCAAACAAGTTAGCAAAGCTTTATTTACTTACACTTACAAGTATATGTTATTTATACTTACCTCCATGCTCTGCAAATTTGGGATTAGAGAGGATTTGTTTACAGAATTTCAACCCATTTCGATACTGTTTATGTTCATAACATCTCTGTCAAAACAAAAAAGAAAAAATCGAGTTTAGGAAGAAATGCAATTTTAAATTCAATACTAAAATTTTGATTACTAAATACACAGAGTGATCAAATGTTATTTCCATATTCTCCTAAATCCCACTAAAAAAAAAAACAAATACAGAAGATTCAAATACAGAAAGTAAAAGCAACACAAAGAGACAGAATATAGGTTAGGAAAAATAAGAAATCATCAGCTCACTCCAAAATGTCCAGCAAGTGTTATAGAAAATGAAAACTGAAAGAAAATAAAGGTCTGGAAATTGTATTTTAAAATAATATTTTCTTCTTACTGAAGGAAAGAAGTCTCTCAAGCCACAGGGATGAACAAGTGGCATGCAAAATAATGAAAAAGAAAAAAAAGACCTATACCATGGCACATCATAATGAAATTTCAAAGCCTTGAAAATAAAGAAAAGCCTCCAGAGGGGGAAAAAAGTCACATAAAAAGGATCTGTATTTAGAATATCACTGAAATTTTACTCTAAAGTAATAATGGAATACTGCTAAAAACTAGAAAACATCTATACATAGCCTTCAAAGTTCAGAGTGAAATCAAGTTTCGACCTAGAATGCTACACCCAGCCAAATTATCAATCAAGTTGTGAAAAGGACACTCACAGGCTTCTCAGAAAGCTAAAATTTTATCTCTATGCATTCTTCCTTATGAAACCATTAAAAAGAATCAAACAAAACAAGACAATATGGCACTTGGTAAATAAATCTAATGCAGAAAAAAGAACTAGAGAACAACCACTCCAAAATAAAAAAGGAAGCCAAAGGCCACCATGGAATAGGTTTCCAGTAAGGGCAAAATGGAACTAATATATTTCATAATATGGAAATTATTATTTATAAGCAAATGACAGAAATTCAGACACATTTGGGAAAAATGAGAAATACGTCTACAGAAAACCAACTGCATGAGCAAGTATTAACTCAGGAGAAATAAAGGCTTGTATAAGAAAGTATGGTCTTAGTGTAATATTTAGCTTAACAGTAAACAATACATGCATAATTATAAAAATGTAAATATTCAGTGCCAGTTTATCAAAATGTTGTGATACAACTATGACAGGGTAATGAGGAAAAGGAAAGTGGACGAATGTGTGAATGATGTTCTAAGTCCTTCTTTTCCATAACCAGAAGTCAACAAATGTTTTCTAAAAGTCATGTACCAAGTACAGTGGTATATTACTAAGCAACAAGAAAGCAAATACCAAAGAAAATGGCTAAGAGAGTGCTTGATTCTGAAGTGGGAAGGTGAAAGGGTGAGGGGGTAGGGGAGAAGGGGACATATTTTTTTATCATGTTTTAGTGCTATTTGACTTTCAGGTATCAATATGTGGTTTCACTAATAACAATTATGTTTTTTAATGCTTTTTTTTTTTTTTTAAGTAGGTTCCATGCCCAGCGTGGACCCCAATGCAGGGCTTGAACTCACCCCACTGAGATCAAGACCTGAGCCAAAATCAAGAGTCAGATGCCTAACCGACTGAGCCACCCAGGTGCCCCAATAATTATTTTTTAAACCATTCTATTTGTTACAGGAAAAAGCCTGCATCTAAAAGATATAATAATCTATGCCAGAATTCACGGTCATAAACTTAAGCAAATTTTACTTACAACTACCATCAAAATCTGGGAAACTTAATGCAAATGATGACAAAATCACAGCAGAAAAAAATGTAGAAACAAAACAATGAAAATGTAAAATTTTACATTTGGCATCAAAGAAATCAACTGCTTAAGCTCAACGCTAGAACAACTACAGAATTGTTCTATAACAACTATGTCCTCATCACCTCTACTTTGCTGTTTCTCATCTTAAACTTAATATATCCAAAACACAACTGAATTCTTCCCCCAGAATCTGTTCTGCACCAAGTCTTCATCATCTCAGTAGATGCTTTTCCCTCAACTCACCCAACCAGATGTAAAGAAAACAAAAACAAACAAGCCCTATTTATCTTTGGTGCTTTCTTTCACTCATACTTCCATCCTCTAGTAGGTACCATTAGTCCCAATTTCTCTACAATAGCTTCCTAATTTCCTGCCCTCCCTCCCCATAATCAACTATACACTCAACAGGCAGAGTTATCTGGGGATAAGAGGGAAGGGAAAGCAGCAGCAGTAACTCAGAGCTATCATTAATCATATGTAGTCAAAGAAACATAACAAAGTAATTAAATTTCATGTTTCTATTTACTCAGCAGAAAGCCTAACTACAGTGTGTTTTTCTTATAATAATTAGGTATAGTTATGATGTAAACACTAGTTCAAAGGGACACTCCTGATGTGTCAATGTTTTCCAGGAACTATATACATACAAAGAACAGTTTAAGGGCATTATTCTTAAAATCCTCAATTAGCTTTCTGAAAACTTTTCTTTTTCTTTTTTTTTTTTTAATTTTATCTAAGTAGGCTTCATGCCTGGTGTGGAGCCCAACATGGGGCTTGAGATCAAGAGCTGATCAAGAGTGGGACGCTTAACTGACTGAGCCACCCAGGTGTACCTCTGAAAATTTATTTCTGTAAAAATACAGTAAGGGAACTTCCACTTTTGGCCATGATGGAATAAGTGAGGTTGAACTTGCCCTTCTACTTCCTATACACAACAAAAATGGACAAAGCATATGAAATAACTATTGTCAGACATTGTACAATAGGCAGCACAGGGTTGTGAACCATGGGGGGAGGGGGCGGGGATGACAGACTTAGAAATGCCCCTGCTCTATAGATCATAGTACAGGGAGAAGGATCCCAAGCAGAGCACAACAGTCCACACAGAGTTGAAGAGACAAAGACTGAATGAAGTTCAATGAGGCCAACCAAATGGTAAAGCAAATGCTGATGGAACTTGCAGAGAAAGAAATTTAAAAATCTGCAGGGGGTCCAAATGCATCAGTTGCTGAAAACTATGAGTGCTAAGTCTTGAATATGTAGAGGGAAAACTTCATGAGGCCAAACAAAGAATGACCAGGAAGCAGTGGATTCAAGAATTTTCAGGGTTCACATGGTACTGAGAATTCCAAATAGCCAGAATGGAGTCTTCAATGAACACCTGCAGAATTCAGTAAACACTGCAAAAAGGTCTGCTCAGCAGAAGACAAAAACTATCCCTAGAGTATGTGTACTCTAGACCCACCCTAAACAAAGCCCTAGGCTGATATACAAGTACCTTCACTGTCTGCTATTAACAAAGTCCAACACTCTTTAAAGACAGATAAGTCATATAAAGCAATGTAAAATTCATAAATACACAGCATCCAATAAAATATTATTATATAAGCTAAGAAGCAAGAAAACATGATCCATAACCAGGAGAAATAAGAGAAATGATTAAATAATGAGGTCAAAATATCAAGACAACTAAATGCTCAAGAGTTTAAGGAAAATATAAACATGTGACAAGAGAAACAGAACATATAAAAAAGAACTAAATAGTGCTTCTAGAGGTGAAAAATATATACAATGAAAATGTCATCAGATTAAAGGTATCGACACCGTAGAAGAAAAAATCAGTGAAATGGAAGACATAGCAATAGAAACTACCCAAACTGAAGTATAGAGAAAAAAGATAGAAAAAATAAATTAGCAGAGTCCCCATGCATCTGTTGCTAAAAATTGCTGAGTACTAAGTCTTAAATATGTAAGGTGAAACTTCATGAGGCCAAACAATGACCCTTCTGAACAAAAGAAAAATTCTAAAAGCATCACAAATCTAAATGAAAAAGGTAAAACAATACAGCTTCCCAATAAAACATTTTAAAATATCTTCATTATACATTAGGTTGACAAGCTCCCTTATCCCTTCAACAGGAAAGTTTAAATGTTTAAAATACTTTTAATAAAAGGTAACTCAGGGGCATATGGGTGCCTCAGTTGGTTAAGCATTTGCCTTTGGCTCGGGTCATGATCCCAGGGTCCTGGAATTAAGCCCCGCATTGGGCTCCCTGCTCAGTGGGGAAGTCAGCCTCTGCCTCTCCACCTGCTCAATCTCTCTCTCAAATAAATAAAATCTTTAAAAAAAAAAAAAAAAAAGGCTAGCCAGAGAAGACATATGCAATGCCCAACAAAGATCCTATATCTCTATATATAATATAAAGAACTCCTATAAGTCAATATCAAAAAGACAGCTCATTAAAAAATTGGGCAAGGAGGAGTGCCTGGGTGGCTCAGTTGGTCAAGCATCTAACTCTTGATTTCAGCTCAGGTCATGATCTCAAGGTCCTAGGATCAAGCCCCCGAATCGGGCTCTCTGCTCAGCAGGGAGTCTGCTTCTCCCTCTCCCTCTGTGCACTTTCTCTTGCAAATAATAAAATCTTTAAAAAAGAGTAATAATAATTGGGGAAGGGTCTTGAAAAAATGAACCCGAAAGAGGTTATACTAACAGCCCATAAACACATTAGAGGTGCTTAATTACATCAAAATAAACAAAAATAAAAACGTATCTTCACCAAAAGACAAGAAAAATGTGAACATTTATTAAAAGCTGAGATTACAAAAAAATACATGAAAGCAACAAAAAATACCTAAAATTAATAACCTACCTGAACTAATAGTTCAGTAGTAGGTCAGCAAAAACTTAGTATCTTTTAATTTACTTTGGATTAAAAATTTATACCTAAGGCTTAAATTTACCAAAGCCAATACAATAAATATGGTACAAAAGGAGTGTAGGTCTTCTCTGCTCAAGTAAACAAACCACATAAAGTGTGATCACTATGTCATAATCCTAGCATTATATTTGTAGGTAATTTTTACATACCAGTAACATTATGAATGGAAAAATTTACTTCAAGGAATTAGTCAAACAGTGAACAGCTACCTATCAATCAAATAGCTCTGGTTTTAAAAACTGACTTCAGACAATAAACTTGTTATGTAGTCTTAAGTACTTTGCTGAGTATCAGAAAGAGTCCTTAAATCCTGGAGATCACTTGCCAGGAAAAAACATGTAAAACAGTACTAACAG